AACAGCCCTACCTCGGCATAGAGCGTCTTGTTGGTCAGACTGATGCCGTGTTCCAGGCATTTGAAGCCCTTCTCCAGACTCCTGTTGCTGTATGCCCCGAGGCCGAGCATGACGAACGCCGTCAGGGCGGCCGGACCGCCCCGCTCCGTGCCGCCCTGGTGAGTCAACACACCGCCGTCATCGGGAGACCATCTCTGGGTCAGACCAGATGCAGACGTGGAGAACATTTGTGACATTATTCGTTTACGTCCTGACCATTTTACGGCACGTACGTACGCCTGCGACGTTTATCATTCTCACTCCACACTTCGACAACAGCCTGAGAGCCCTGGGCCCCGATACCCGCAGCACCAGCGCGGAGCCCCGGGATGCCGGAGTGATCTGTTCCATCCACCACCACGACGATGCATCACTCGCCTTGAGCTCTTTGTGAATGACGCTTCCAAGTAGAGGGAAGCAGCCGTCATTCTGCTGTTTTTGCACAAGCCAGTTGAAGCTATGCGAGGTCGCCACCTCGTCTGGGAAGGAGGTTGTGGTTAGTTAGTGAAGGGAACCAGCCGTTACTCTGCCTCTTCATTATCAGCCGTCTCTACAGTATCCCGTTACTGGTATTGGCTTACTTCTCGTCTGGACAGGCAGGTTGTGTTTAGCTAGGACCACCCATCCGTCACTGACCATGGGTGAGTGACTCTTCGTCTTCACGAGAATACTATGGTTGGTTGGTAAATGGAGGCAACCGTCACATACCCCTGTTGCTGCGGCAGAACAGTGTGGTTCCGGTATCTTTGTGGTCTTCGTTGATTCAACAAGCCATGCCGAGGTCACCCACCGCTTATTAAGCACCTCTGATCGCAGTCCAGCACTGCACTGACTAGCGCTTGTACTTTCACTGTCAATGATGATGTCCATGATGATAGCGATAATGACAATGACGATGCCCTTCACCAATATAGGTGCTTAGATAAACGCAACACTGAGCCCAGAATATACTCTAGAGACATTAGCGGTGTGGCTCGATTAATTTCCACGATCCAAATGTTTATCCTACCCCGACGAGTAGCACCTACCGATGTCGATGTACTCGGACGCCTCCTTGAAGGATTTAATGACGAAGGCGGTGAGCCACAGCGAGCCTTCCGGGTCATCCTGGCCGAACGAGGAGTAGGAGCCGTACAGACGCCTGTACCGCAGCTGGGTCTGGTACCCTAGGGTACAGCACGACGGGGTCAGAAGTACTTCGGGTGCCGTGACTGAATCTAGTACACCGGGCTGAGGTGATAGCTCGGAGGGGCCACAGTATTGCAGGTACCCTCAGCTGGTACACTGAACTACAAACAACATGACGTCCAGCTTACCCAAGACGAATGGTATTGCGCTGCCTTCTCACCGTCGCATCCAATCTCATTGACCCAATGATGTCCCCAACTGAGCTCAATGTTTATGTTTTACCTCCCTCTGTCGTTTACCGGGGATGCTCAGAAGCCAGAACCCGAAAGAGGTGGTAAAACCCCACAGTGGCAGCTGTCGTCTGAGTTATCACACGTGTAAAAAGGCAGCTGGGACGGTGGCCACACGTACCTACTTACTGCCGGACGTTACCTGACGTGCGCTCGCAATATGAGTGCAACAATTTACTCTTCTCTTAGGCGTTTGCGTCGATGTGCAAGTGTGAAAAGCATTGAGCATTGCTTCCAATATTTAATTGAGTTGCAATGTTCGTGTTTTGCGGTTAGCGGAAAGTGGTTTCAGTTGAGCGAGAACTGAGGACCTTAGGTGCTTCGCCGACCACGAGGTCACTCGATCAGCACCCTTTGCCCGGCCGGGTGGCCGAGGTCCGGAAGAAATCCGGTCCGGTTAGAGGGGTCAACGTTATGCAAGGCTATACAAGGTTGTCAAGGTTATACAAACTGTTTAAGCTGGTGACGGCGACTCTTGGCGACTCAACACTATTCACTTCTGCTATTGTTTCGATAAAGCCATGTTGCCGAAATATCAACCCAATTATATCTCCATCTCCTGGTTGTTCTCCGAGGAATAAGGCTAATACTATTGTCTTATCTAGATAACACTTGGGGCTCAAATCGTCGAGCGGACATCCAGTAGTCCCTGCCACTCCTACATTACTACGCAAGTGTCGCCCCTCCCTTCCTGCCCTGCTTCCCGCCCTTCTCTGGTGTTCACCATTCTGTCAGCCCAAGTTAGCTCCAAGTCCTTGGCAGGCAGGAAAACATCCGCGACAGCTGGGGTTTTGTGATGGCCCGTGAGCGTGACAAGCTTGCACCTAAAACGTGCAATGGAGTTAGTCAATAAGACAGATTGGTGTGCCGACCTGTAGCTGTTTTTGCAGTGCCAATGTTTCTTCCGGTTATACCCGTGTATTTTCGATTAAGATGTGCTAGTAGCTAAGTTGCAGACGATAGAGCATCCATGGCGGTGGAAACAACATCCGCCTTTGCGAGAATAGAGGTGTGTATTTAGATGAAGCAGAATGAACGAGACGAACGAACATCATGGAAGCGTGCCCCGTCACGTGTCTCATCGCCCGAATTTCTTCCCTCCCTTCTCCCAGCGAATCGGGTTCTCGGTCCCATCGGAATTAGCTGCATCCGCTGGCACTCAAGTGATTATTGGATGCAATCTGTATGAGCTAACTGGGTTGTAATAACATTATAAATTGGTTAAATGGTCGCAATGGTTGAATCAGTGTATTTCGGCTTGATGGCAGTGGTCAAGTCAACCTCATGATTTTAGTCGCACCGATCCCACGGAGATTTTGGGCGGGACATACCGCACGAAGATGCATAACAAACCACATCCATACCCACAGCCTTCGTTGCGAGTCCGTGGACTGAAACAGAGGCTTGCCACCTCTGTCTGAATAAAAAAGAAGCACTGAATGAATGAAGCCCATAAACTAATGACGACGACGTGATAAATAAATAATGACGTGCCCACGACGAATGCGTGGGACGATGGTCTCTGTGAGGGGACTGTCAAATGCATGTGAGGGGACTGTCAAATGCATGTGAGGGGACGATAGTCTCTGTGAGGGGACTGTCAAATGCGTGTGAGGGGACGATGGTCTCTGTGAGGGAACTATAAAATGCATGTGAGGGGTCCTGTAGGGCTTGGTTGCCACGAACACTCAAGGTCCTAAACCAGCATTCAGCGGTTTTCGCGGTTTTTGGTGGAGAGGAGCAGCATGTCACCCACTGGATAGGTGACACGCGATAGGGTGGCTAGAACAGGCACGACAAGGGAGGCACGAGACAAGGGAATATCCTCAGCCCTTCAGCTAGAGCAGCCAGGCCCGCTGCCAACAAACCCCAAGATGCACTTGGAAACGACGCGGAAGAGGACGGACGCTGGCTTCGGGACGGTGGAAAGCGTGGTAGGCATCACCCCGCGGTGGACATGTAGTTGACATTCACCGCAATACGCGTAGTGGGATGATACGATCATAAAGGCAGGCGTGGTCACCTGCTTAGAGGTCAAAAGCCAAGCTACACCCGTCCTCCTCTGTTCAATTCCCGTCATAATCCTCCCTATTCAACTCGCACATAATCAACTCCCGTTTAGTCTGGCGGTGTTTGCCACAGTTTAAGAAGTGGTCCATCTGCGCCGCGCTTGAAATGTGGAAGTGCGATGACGTATAGCTGTCAGGCCCCAACTAGCAAAAAATGATGAATGCATTTCATATGCTAGAAGGCCATTTGGCTAGACTTTATATGTGACCTACCATCGGCAAATGCTTGCGAAAACGAAACTTCGGACTTCCTTTCCCAGTACAGGGTTTCAGCCGCAGGGTGTCACCTTTGAACAACTTGGAAGCACGATAGTGAGCGGACCCTGTGAGCCGTCATAAGAGCCCGGGAGAAATCAGACGTTGTCATTTTCCCAGCACATAATCCACCCACGTCATATATCCCATCAGGATATACCCGGACGAGCCGGCACCGACAGACAAGAGGAAGCACATAGAGCGGGACATAATGTTTGGGTCCAGAATACCACCGATATTTCTACACCTCCAACAGGCTCTCATGGTGAAACGCGGCGGTGATGGCGATGGCCAAATCACGCCCTTCCAGAGCAGATGGACGCAAAAATGAGGAAAAAGGGAAACAAACAAAACAAAAATGATACCCAACTAACGGTACCACATCACACACCACCCACTACAACGCAGGTGCGCTCTTTCTCCATATCTTGCTAGTCGTGCCTCGGCACGTCTCCCACCTATGCCGACTTGGCGTCCTATGTTGCTGCTGCTTCCGTTCCGGCATGTCCAGTCCCACATAATGTAGCAGGGTCATAATCCGCCCCTAGTACGCCTTTTGCCCCTTAAAATCCGTGGTTTTGTGATGATTCTGCTCCATCGCAGCATCCCCAGGTATCACATACTGTCATGCCGTTAGTGGTCCGGTCCCACTCTCGGGACGTCAGCAGTCCGGTGTGCTCCAGGTCTCTATCTCACCTCGTCTCATGCCGTTGGTGGTCCGGTCCCGGTCCCGGCGAGTCAGCAGTCCGGTGTGCTCCAGGTACGCCCTCATGTGGATGTACGGCACGAAGGCCAACATGTTGGGCTCTCCTCCACTGGTCGGGATGTCAACCAGGCGACCCAAGTTCTGGCGGTCACGACCGTTGGTTATTATACACCGACGCGTCAACGAAGCAGTTTCCCCAGGTACATTGGGCTGAAAAGAGATAGCAACCCACTGGCAATGTGCAAATATATAAATATAATGTATGCATAGGTAAATTTACGATATAAATGTTACCAGTAAGACGCTATGCTAGGAGTGAAGTGGTCGAGGATTTAACCGGTGTGAGACATAACAACTTTCACCATGTATGAGATTTTCCGAAAGCAAAATAACAAACCCCAAACACTAAAGAAAACCGTGCGGTTTTCAAAACAAATAAACACATAGTTCTGACCACTGCGTTGGAAGTGTGCTATTAAAATGAGGTGAGCAAAAAAAGTAGCCCTGATATTTTTTTCGAAATGACCTATTTTGATCACTTTTAAACACAGAAAATAGTATACCATTTCTGTACAAAATGTAGAATTGCGACGAGAAACAATCATCTAAGGTGCCCATGCAGTCCCGTAACAAGTCTGGTGCACTCAAACTTTGACAACGCGCTATTGACATCGGTTTCCAACCGATGCCACTTGGTCAGTGGTTCTCATACTTTGTCCTAGGCTTTCACACTGTCCACATAACCCGGCAGCACATGAATGCCACACTCCCGGTTATAAACATTCGACGTCGCGAGCAAATTTATTGGTGAACTCTTTTTCTCGAGTTATACTTTTTCACAGATGAAACTACATTGAAATAAAACAACATCTTTGCCCTAACGGCAGGCGAGTTAGGCGGCGCACACCATCCCAGCAGTGTGGGACATCCCAGAAGCCGCTGTACGGGCGGCGTGATTTTCGACATCGTTGATTGGCTGTTCAAAGCGTGGGCGCGTGCGATGGGATGCAGTCGGGGCGGGACGGCCCCAAGTGACGTCAGAGTGACGACGCCCGACCGTCGGTGGTTGGCTGGTGGGTGCAACTAGTGGCTGTTAAACGGCTTTCGCCGGTGAGTGCAGCTAGTAGCTGTCAAACGGCTATTAAAAGAGTCTGAGTGACGTCAGGGTTACGACATCCGACCGCCGGCGGTTGGCTGGTGAGTGCAGCTTGTGGCTGTTAAACGGCCATCAAAAGTCTGAGTGACGTCAGAGTGACGATGCCCGACCGCCGGCGGTTGGTTAGTTAGTGCAGGTAGTGGCTGTTAAACGGCTAATAAAAGAGTTGGCCGTTAACATATCGTACAACAATATTTCGGTTGCATCTTTTACATTCGATACCGACCATAAACCTATTTACACGGCACTTCGTAACCGAGTACAGTGTTTATTTTTCTTAATAGAATTATGTTAGGTGCCGTTATCTGTATTTTGGGTACGATGTTCTTACATCATCATAATCTACGAATAGCCCTACTTGACGACTAGATGCCGACATGTCTCGCCACTGCTGTTCAGCCCAGCGCCTTCCGCAATCACAAGTTCCTCGAGTCGATCTTTTTTCAAAACCACCGTCGAGCAGTGAATTCAAGCGCTCTTAGACATGCATTCCTATCAGTATGGATAGTTCACCGAAGCAAGTCAAGAAGGCTTTATTACATCACAACATTTAAACAACCTCATGGATAATTCTGGTACCACCATCATATCTCTCTTATCAGGCATAAATAAGTGTGCATCCAGCAGTGCATCGAGCGATGATTCCCTTGTTTTTTGGAGGGACTGCACGTTTTATGTTTGATGTGATAGAGCTAATAATAAGAAACTGAATTATTACAGCTGTGTGTGCGGAAAATAATTATATAAGATGTTTGCGCGAAAAATGTTGTGCGTTACGAACGGGTAGAAAAGCTTGATGCACGTATGACATTCATGTATCTAGTAGCTAGTGGGCCAACGTTTGGCTAGAATAATGATGTTATACAATTTGCATCACTGGTAACCCAAATATATATGCAGGCAGGTTTTTAGCGTGTGAATGTAACGTTTAATAGTAGCTTCGGCAAAAATTGAGTGGAGAAGCTCTCAGAGCCGAAAGCTTGGCAACCCCATTTTTACACAAAGTGTTGTATTATGAGGCCATGACCCTGCTGTTTGTTTAATAACGAGTCTCTCAAACCGGCATTTAGTCAAAACATGTCTATAGCTGCTGGATACAAAGGACTGGGCTGTGCTTTACTGTGCCATTCGTGGTCAGTCTATCACTGTGCAGGCCAATTTGCGTGATGTTTTATTGGTTTCGAAAAAAAAACATGTCGCCTGTTTTTCTGTCCACTATTGGCAGAGTTATGAGATGACGCTCTCTTTGATTGCTTATTACTTTGTTGTTAATACAGTTTCCCACATCGAATCAGTGATTCTCCGTCTTGATCTGATCTGTTTCCGAATCTGACGCCAATGCTCAGCCTAAACACACAGGATGTTCGCTGCCAGGAACGCGTGCGACCAGCAGCACACATCGATCCAAATCTCTACGCTTACGGCTATCCACGCTCTCACCAGTCGACACGAACTGCATCCGCTTAACGCCGACACCGGATTGTCTAGATAAGCGTTCGGTTTCGCTTCGCGTTTTGCAGCGTTTTGCGCGTTCAGTAGCCAGATACACCGATTTAAACAGAGAAGGCACAAATGATGGTCGTTTTTGCGGTATCACATCGTGGTACTATATCATAGTGCTAGGGGTTTAATGGCATCGCACTCCCAATTACAACCGCTTACCCCACATTTCACTTTCAGAAACGTGATCACTGTCTAAAATCAAGATGTAGATTCGGCTTAAATAAACGTTTAACGTTTTAAAACCTGACCTTATAGAAGACCGGGAGCACTTCATTTTTAAGACTAGGCAAAACTTTAACAAAATTAAGAAAAGCACCCTCTTCTTGATTTGCAACGTCAACATAACAGAAATACCGTATTGTCAAACGCGTTACGGTACGTCTTTCCAGCATATCTTGGAATCGTGTCCAAATTTTCAGTACGCTAAAATGGGCGTTCATTGTGCGTGTTTCTCACAAAGATCGCAACTCTAGATCTTCTAATTTCTCGTTGTTGGTGTTTTTCGGAGAACTGCACGGCGATCTGCGGCTAGCGCAGGCGGGGGGGGGGGGGGGGGGAGGGGGCGGTAACCGACGACCCCGCCGACACTGCGGCGGGCCGACACACGTTTCTGTCACATTTGTTGCTCCTCTGTAGCATCTGTGCGTGTCCTGGATCAAAGCTGGATCTACAGAGCGAAGGCAAATCTGGGACGGACTCACATCGTATGAAGGTCCGAGCAGATCCCCCACCACGGAGAAATAGGCCCGCTCAGAGCCCGGCACCAGGCCTTCAGGAGCCACCATCGGGATCCGCTCCACGTGAGGCTCAGCTCCTGGCACATCAGGAGCAAGTCATGGTGCGGCTATAACAGGAGGCCCGGCCGCATCATGGACTAAGACGCATCTGAGCGATCCAAGATATACTCGTTGACATTAGGGCCGACAGTCGTGAAAGCAAAACATGTTTTCATGTTGTTCAAAACACGTGTTCATAGGCGTCGTCGCGCCAATTCACAAAACGTCATTTGGTTGTTCGTTGGATTTCAATCCATTCACAAAACCGCACCTGGGTTCGTGGCACGAACAACTGCAGTTTAACGCTACGCAGCGAAAGTAGTTTGTGGTTTTATCGCAAACAATTCTGACTTAAACGTGAAGTAAAGTATGCTATGGTTTACAATGCGCTAAAACTGTTCGCGAAGGTGGACCTCGCGGACTACGAGAGCTGCCTAGCGCACCAAACGCCCAAATGCGCAGGGGCCGCGCAGCCGGGGGAGGTCAGAAGGGGCAGTCGCTCACACCCCTGCTGGCAGGCTGGGGGGGGGGGGGGAATTGCTTGTTTTATGTTTACCCGTATGTTACCAAAATCCAGCCCGAGGAGGTCCCCATAGCTTAGCTAATCTAGACCAAGGAGGTCCCCATAGCTTAGCTAATCCAGACCAAGGAGGTCCCCATAGCTTAGCTAATCCAGACCAAGGAGGTCCCCATAGCTTAGCTAATCCAGACCGAGGAGGTCCCCATAGCTTAGCTAATCCAGACCAAGGAGGTCCCCATAGCTTAGCTAATCCAGACCGAGGAGGTCCCCATAGCTTAGCTAATCCAGACCAAGGAGGTCCCCATAGCTTAGCTAATCCAGACCAAGGAGGTCCCCATAGCTTAGCTAATCCAGACCGAGGAGGTCCCCATAGCTTAGCTAATCCAGACCGAGGAGGTCCCCATAGCTTAGCTAATCCAGACCGAGGAGGTCCCCATAGCTTAGCTAATCCAGACCAAGGAGGTCCCCATAGCTTAGCTAATCCAGACCGAGGAGGTCCCCATAGCTTAGCTAATCCAGACCGAGGAGGTCCCCATAGCTTAGCTAGAGTGTAATAAATAGGGTTCTGAAGACCATTTGCTGCATCGGGACGCCTGTTTTCTGGATTCTCAGGCCAACTTTACGAATAAGGTAGCCGATGCTCTAGATTAAATGCCAAAATGTTGTGTTAAGGAGGCATCTCTGTTGGCTCGGGAGGCCCCATATGGACTAGGAGGGCCTGTTCTGGGTTCAGAGGCACCCTTTATAAAAAAAACACCATTTCTGGAGTTGAACCTTTTCATGCATCAGATAGCCGCGGTTTCGAATCAGGATGGCCTGTGCTATTGCGAGGCCCCTTGGCTAGATTTGGAGGACCCCTTCGTGAATGGGAAGCATCGTGTTCTGGATTAGGAGTCCCCTCAATGAGTCATGAAGTTTTGCTTCTGATCACTGAGACCCCTTGCTAGACAACTAGAAGACTCCCGTTCTGTTTTTTTTTTTCTATTGCCGACATTTATTAAACTTGATACGGTGCATGTTACTATTTGATAAAGCAGCATATGCATTTGGCACCTCTATCCCTTCCATACTACCTTCCCCAAAAGGGCCCCCTGGGATGTAGCCCCATTCTTTCCACAAGGCCCCCTTCAAAATCCAGTCCCCCAAGTCGAAATTCGTGGTGCCAACCGAGTAAACACATCTGTATTAAATTATATTGATGGCTTAATTAGCTGGTTTTTTTTTAGCGTCACCAAAACAATGAATTCGATCATATTCCTGCTACCAACACGAGGCACTGAAGGACCTCAAACACCGTCACACCCATTGGCTCTAAGGCACGTCGTCAGACCGCTCTCACCGTGCAACACACGCGCACACGCACGCGCACGGGCACGGACACGCACACGTGCACACATACACACATACAAGCGCACATGCGCGCACGCATACACATACGCACGTACACACGCACACACGCGCGCGCGTACCCACACACGCACACGCACACGCACACGCACACGCACACGCACACGCACACACACACACACACACACACACACACACACACACACACACACACACCACACACACACACACACACACACACACATACACACACACACACACACACACACACACACACACACACACACACACACACACACACACAAACATGCGCGCGCGCACGTACGCACGCAACGTAACACACGCGCGCACGCACCGCTAGACTAAACCAGGACCAGCGTACAAATGGCTCTGTCACAAGAGTCATCACTCACCTTCGTCCAGGCACACGAACCGTGACGTTGTTTCCTCCTGCGGGAATCCCTCGGGCTTGACCACTAGCGGACGGATGACCGTGTCACTGCCGGTCACAGCAGGAGGATCACGGTGTTTGTGTTGCCAATAACGTGCCAAACGCAGAGACATGAGATATTAAAAGCTTGGAAAATTTCACTTAGGCCACTTTTAAGACAAGGCTTTCCATGTTTCCCCTTCCTGTTCAGGATCCTGCTTCTTTGAGCGTTTGCAGCAAACTGGAAGACAAAAAACAGACGCCACTGACGTCAGTCACAACTTCATTCCTGATAGATTGTGGCTTTTGGTGTTCGCAGTGACTCGGACGACACAAATTTAATGAGATGTTATGTCTTATCATTGTCGGGCGTGAGAAAAGTTTCTTCGTTACTTGGTCAACGCAAGAACGAAATGACGTCACGGTTTAATTTTTTATCTCAGTTTGCGCCCATGGACGACGGCAGGTGGCACAAATGTCTTGCGTAGCGTAGCGTAGCCCGCGTAGTGTGTGCGAACGAAAATTCTCGTGTCTCGCATGCACAGTTGCGCTCTCAAAAATTACTAACTGTAAGTAGAATATGTCGCGCTGCGACCACAATAGGGAAAACATGAGCACAGTGGCATGAATAATAGACCATTTCTTTGCGCGCTGCGAATGCATCCACAGTCGCATTCACCACTCGAGGGCATAGGCAGCATGATGGACAAAAAACAGCCTTTTGGTTTCCGAAGTGATGAAACCCATCCTGGATCACCATGTAGAGCTGAACGTGCGATACAGCTCAAAGCAGAAACATAACTCTTGAACTGTCAAAGGGCTTTGGCAAAACACAAAAAATGAGATCACTACATGGTCACAACAAGTGCTACTGACACCGAGGCCTCACCTTGATGTTGACATCAAGAATTCGGCATGATGAGGGTACCGTGGGTGGGCAAACGTCGATGAGCCAAGCCACCTGATTGGACATTGTAGGTAGCTTGGCATTTAGCTAGGGTGTGACTCATAGCTAAGATGAGTTCGTTGCTACTTTCTCCGCTGTTTCACACACACTTCACTATCCCGTATCAGAGTGTGAAACACTAAGACAAAGTACTAAAGCTGGTGTCATGGCACTTACGTTTGACTCGCGGCAATGTTCGACGAGACTCCAGCCCCCTCCCCCCCCCCCCCGCCCCTCTGCTTTTTTGTCTCCCTTCTCCTAGAACCCAAATTTATTGCCTCCTACAAACTAAGGCGTAATAAAGCTGAGAGTCATGACTACGGACGCCAGATACATTACGGTTTCCGTTGTACCCTTATAATGGTTCTACATAAATGTGTTGCACGCAAGGAATGTGGCGAATTGACCCGAGGAGAGGGCTACATACGGCTCGAAAAATCTGACGCAAAGAATGCGCAAAGAATGTCGCCTGGAAGTAGGCGAGGAGATGCATAGAGAGACGGGAAAACCACAGTCATAATATCTCTCTCATCCGAACACACCAGATTTTTAGCCCATTGCGTACATCCCAGATAAACACAACCAGCCTGATAAAGAAAAGTTACTTCTTACCGAAGTAATAACCTGGCCGAAGTAACTTCGGTGCAACTCCTTTCTTTTTTGCCATTTTTATAAATCTGGCACCACCCTTGCGAGGTATATCATAAAATGCAGAGGCTGAAATAATTTCAGCGGCGATACATGGGTTAGTCGCCATGGTCGCAATGTCGTGGTTTTGGACCCGGGAGTTTTGGACGCCCGCAATTAATCCGGAAATACCGCTGGGTGGTATGAACGGTGTGGGCATGAATGGGTTAACTCAGCGATATATTTGGGATTCGCACGAACCATTAATTCATAGATTACTGACGCTCACTTCTTCGTTTCGCTGGATTACAGATATCTTGTACATCTTAAATCGCTCCGCTACCTGCAAATCTGTTTGATCTGTGTGTTCATGGCCCATCCCTGTACTGCGTGCGAATGCGCCAGGGGCTAGAGGACAAAATTCAACTGACATCGCTGAATATCCTTACCGTAGAATATGCATTTTGTGGGCTTACATCATGTCTGCTGTTGTCATAGCAAGAAAAAAAATGGCTGCCAACATCCGGGAACCTCAACATCACGAATCCGCGCCATGTGGAAGAGATGCAGGCCTTTATTACAGCTCGCCAGTAATATTCACCGCACTTTTTGGCGTCTGTTTGTGATGGCCACACAAGTTTACAATGCAAACTGTACCTGTATCGATCTTCTCACATACACGCAAAACGTCCTCCCAGCGTCCAAAGACGGCCCCTGACATGCTGACATCACTTCATAGCAATTTTCAGCAATTTTCCATTTTTTTCAGCAATTTCCCACTGTAGGTTGATTCTTGACATCCATGTCCTGTTCCTGTTCTGGCCATGTGCCGACTTGTCTACAATCACCACTGCTGATGTTCCGAAAAGGCAAAGAATTAAAGCGGTTTAAATTTAGTTCTGTTTCAAAGTAAATTCGTTCTCAAAGATCAACTTATCTGCGTTTATGAAACACGACTCATGTTTGCTGATGTATGAAAGTAGTAACTCCTCCCTCCACATTTCCTCACAATGGTAGAAAATGGTAGGATTTACCACGCTTAGAGATGCATAGTTACTCTTTACTTTAAGCAGCTGCATTCGAAGTAGAAGCTTGTGAAATTAATCATTTCTTCTAACATGCATACCTTTATCTCATCATGAAACTGATCCATGTTTTGTTATTTTGCTGGTGCAGGCAAATCTCTGATTTATCCCCATCGGAGTCACCGGACTCGGAATCACGGGCGGCGGGTGATGAGCTGCCATATTCGCACCAATCAACCACGTGCCATCAGTTATCAAACACCACCGCTACGGCTGAAACCAGGGCGCTAGAATCGCTTTTGAACTAGGGTGGGAGTGAAAAATTTCATCGCAAAAAGACCGTGCGGGAGTGAAAAAATCAATTCACAAAATATGGAGCTTATGAGCTCGCGACTGATGCTTCAGCAAACCAAGACATCTGTTTCAAGTTGGCATGGACGTGATATCAGGAACCTGACAAAACTATTTCGTTTTTTTAAGATCTTAGGCCATTAAAGTGAAACAGAATACATTAGCACGCGCTCGGGTGGGGGGGGGCAAATTCACCCCCCTCCCCGAGGGCTTTTCCCAAATGGTTTCTGAACGGCGCGGCGTAGCCGCGCCAAATTTTGCATAGCTGTAGAAAATTGCATAGCGGATCGTTTGACATAAACATGTGAGATGTACCTTGTAAGGTCGCTGATCTATGACAGGTCAAAGTCAGCCCATGGTTTCAGCGAAGGCAATTTCTTTGGAATCGTTCGATCTGATACAACAACGGAGTGTTTGACGAAGACATACAATTCTGAGATGCTTTTTTAGGCACCAAAAATTTTGAATGAGAAAATTACGTTGACCAAAGGTCAGGTATGAAGGTCAGACTAAGGCCAAAACCAACCTGATCTACTACTCTAGAGCTTGCTGTATGAGATAGCTTTTGGTGCTCATTTCGAATTTGTTCACAGCAGGAACCACATTATGCATGTTCAGTTGACTTTTTAGAGGTCAGAACAGGCCATTGACCTAAGATGACCCGGGTTGAACTTCTTGTTTTAGGAACATACTGCCTAGCGTAATCTTTGTCGCTTATTCAAATGCAAAACTCAGAGCAGCATTGTATCATTTTGGTCACCATGACCTTCAAAGGGTCAAACAAGGTCAATGACCTCAAATGGGCTTGTGACCTTTTGCTTAGAGACAGTTGCCTGGGTTCTGGAGGAGCTTTGGAGACCAACCTGGAATTTGACCTTGTTTGACCTTATTTGACCTGGATGTCATGACCTAGGAAGCTGAAACCTGAACCTAAGTGAGTTCACGTATAGGTCAAGACACCCTTTAAAATTTGGTGTCTCTAGCTTTCTTAGTTCCCGAGATCTCAGAGGGGGTCAAATTGCCCCCCCCCCCCCGCCACCCGAGCGAAGGGTATCTAGCCGGCCAACCGGGTGCGTGTTAAAGCATAGTAATTTCATGACAGCATTATGAGCATAACAAATTATTAACACCAATAATTCGATGCTGCGCTTTTTAATTCCCTTTCACAGCACTTTTGACACATACCAAAGCAAAGGAATTCAATAATAAAATAACAACAGAAAATTCAACAAGCATAAAACACTCAAACAAAAAACCTTGGACTCCTACACATCAGCCCATCACCAAGTCAAACCCAATAGACATACTTCTGGCTTCTGTTAAGATGGGGTCAGGGAAAACAAACATTTTGTCACTGCTTCTCACAAAATACCAATGCTTACTTCCATGAAAGTAGCCCATGCCTAACCTAAAGAGGCCTTACATCATCTTATCCTGTATAACCTGTTGGTATCACAGCAGCAGTTGTGAGTTACTGATTTTTGCACAATTCCTATTGCCACTTGTCATGCACTTGACCAACTTAACCTAACTTAGAGTAGCCCATATGATGAACATCATCTTAACTCAGCTATCTGCTGACAGCAGCTCTTGTGATAAAAACATGATACCTATAGCTAGTTGTTGGCTGGTTTCAACTTGCATTTTTATTCAGTTCATTTATGTATGCTTGTTGACATCAGACAAAGTTGACAGCACACAAATCAAAACATTTTAAGTCACCTTGAACAACTTATTTTGATTGTCATGGTTAACCTATGTCAGGGGCAATAATGAGTAAGCTCCACAAAACAATATCTCTCTTCCAAAAGTAACATAACTTTTAGATGACCATGCCAGTATTGCTGCTTGCCTTTTCAGCTGCAGCAAATGCATCCATTTAGGCTTGTCTATTCATATTTAATGACAAAGTTTGAGATGTTGGCTTCACGTTTTAAATGGGATGGTCTGACTATTCGTTACAAACTAATATTTAATTATATTATAATATTATGATTAATTATAATTGCTGTGCAGCATAGAGTACCGTGTTGAGAATAAAGTGCATATATACAGTACAGTCATTTGCCGGTCAGCAAACCATGACAACTATAGAAAAAATCTGGCTAAAGCAGCCATGAGCGACCACTTTATGAAGTTTGGCTCAAACGACCAAGAATATGGAACGAAATAAGCCCATTGTATGCCTTGTTACATCACAATTTGTCTTATGGCAAAACTCAATGCATTAAAACAGAAAATGGCTAACTCTGGTTACCAATCATGTGTTGAAAGCAGGTAAGGTAAGCAATTACTTGGTGTACAAGAGACTTACTGGCTTCTTTTTGCTCCCACAAAAACAAAAATGCAGTGCCTTTTGCATCGTCTGCTGGCAGACAGAGTCATCCGACTCACCTCCCTCCCCCCTCTCCCCAAATATAGACATCAACCATGCCCACCAACCTTCGAGATTAAAACGCGAAACAAAAAAGAGGTATGCATGGTAAACATCTCCAGAGGGCAGAATTTCGCCATCAAACATTTCTGTTTTAGCTGCGTCAGGTCTGTCCGAAGGCTCTGTATGGCAGCATTGGAATAGCCTTGCCAGGTGGCCTGGTGAGTCAAACATTCGAGAGGCTTGGATTTATCATTACTGAGCACCGCCATAAACCAAGAAAACGGTTAACCGAAGGTTTAAGAGGGCAAAATGGCGGTAAAAATAAGTTCCGTGGTTCGAATTGCATCCTTCATTCCCTGTGAATTGTTGACGCTTGGGTGCATATCAAATATGTTTGGGCGGCTGGCGAATTAATCCAACTGATGTATGAAATACGTACAGGTTTGTAGTTGGAGCATCTTGCAGAGAAATTGGTCAAAATTGTAAGCAGCAGATGGTACTTCTAAAAACAATTGAAAAGGAAGGAAGTATAAAGTGATATCACGCTGGTATGATAAGAAAAACAAAAGTAGCTAAATAAATATAAAAACTGGTGCTTTTCTCGCAAAATTTTGTAATCAGGTGATTTCACTTAAAATCTGTGAATATAAGTGCTCAAATTGTGATATTGATCTTGTAAGTATAATTTAGAAGACATTTCTTGAGTTTTTCACTCATGCATTTCGGGAGTGATGCAATTTAGTGGTCAAGTTTCTTCGGGAAAAAAGAAATACGTAGAGTAAAATTCTCTACCAGGCCTTGTTGGTGTTTGCACCAGGCTCTGCTTTCGTGGTGTGGTGGTGAGACCCCCAAAAATAGGGGTTGCGTGAAAACCTTGCATATGGCGCCCAGCTGCAGATTGTGATGCATTTTGTAAACAAACCAAACTTAATGCGTGCCAGCGGCTGGGGTCGCTGGGGTTCTTGGGCCTGGAGGTACCTGGTGCACTTGCTCTGTGCATACAGACATGCTTCAGATGTAGGTGAGGCAGGACATAGCCATAGGTATCCAGGTTCTGCGGAGCCTTGTTTATGCTTGGTGGTTTTAAGTGAGCTCGGTTTGGGATGACATCCGAATACCTCAGAAAGGGAAATAGGGGTTTGGCATGTGCGATTACACATTGCCAGGCGGGAGTGAAAAATTGACATAAAATATGGGGAAAAGGAGTGAAAATTTCCTCCTCACAGGGCGTTGCTTTACGCCCAACGTCGGCAATTTTAGGACACTGGATGAAACAACAATCGAAAGCCCACCTGCCGGGGCCGACGGCGTTCGGCTGGTCACAGTTGCCGTCTCGGAGTCTGGCCGTGACGGAGATGTTGACCTCGCCCAGAGAGGTGAAGGTCAGCGGGAAGTGGCTGACCTTGGAGCGGCCCGCCGGCACACAGAGGTCAATGCCCGCGGGCGAGACCTCGTCCGCGAGCGAGTAATCCTCCGACGCCGCCAGCTCCAGGTACACCTGCCGGGAACGGGGAACTCTAACGTCTGGGGCACAGCTGTGCTGTTGGTGTGCACTGCAACATCTGCGGATGGTGACTGGTGTGCACTGCAATGTCTCGTAATGTCGCCAGATGATATCTGAGATGGGGTGGCCTAATGTGTGGAGCTAAGCAATGTCACGTCTAGGACACAGGTACTACTAATGTTTGGCCAAGTGTTTTGACTGGTGCTTTAGTGGCTGGGGATGGAGATTGTATTATCTGGCAAAGGTGGCAACTGTTTCTTGGTGAGCATGCACTCGACGAACCTGCCAGATTGCTGCGTCCAAAGATGTACGCTTTAATGTTCCACCAGGCGACCTTGGCTTGAATAAAACACATTGCAATTCGTGTGCAGTTTGAATTTCAATGTTTGGTTGCAATCAGCTTTGCACTGCAATTAAATGCAATTATATTGCATTTCAACTGTACCTCAATTGCAATGGCGTTCAATGATGGGCTACGAAACATCTGACGACATGTCTATGTCAAAACATCTGACGACATGTCATGTCATCTGACATGTCTAACGGTCAGGACAGGTGCAACGTCAGGTATAACGCTAGGTATGTTTCTCTGCGGGTACGCCGGTATGTTGTGTAAGTAGAATTTTTATGTCCATCTGCGAGTGTGATCGGGTTCCTGCAATCAGCACGTAATGACAATCAGTTCCCAACAGAACAGATTAGCAGCTGCACTCACGTGAAAACGTCACAGACGATCTAAAATGTAAAGAGCATTTTGTGACCCTCTTACCGACAGACTGGAGTCGAGGAAGTTGAACACGGTGGATGCCATCTTTAGGATCTCTCCGCGCTTCACGGAGTACGGCAGCGTGACCTCCGCGAAGAACGGCTTGAAGGTCCTGATGTCTGTTTTTTTGGAGACACCGAATCCGTCCTGGCAGCACGCGATGACGTCATGGTCAGTGCATGACAAATGTACGGACAGGCAAGTCGTTGTTGTTCACCAATGGGTGCTTGAAGTGCTTGAGCTTCGAGGATTGCATTGTGTTGTTTTTCCCATGGAACAGACTTACAGAACGTTATATTACGAGATGTCGTTGCAAGATATGTTTAAGATCAGCATTAACCAAAATTTCAGCTGTCCGGAAGACAAACCGTGTACAGACATTGCGCACCTGAAACCCTCGTTAGTTTCAGTTCATCCAACCAACAAAAAATTCAGGAGGGTGTCCCTCTTTTAAAGCATATTTCAAATGCATACTCTAGTGAAACTTTAGGACTGGTTACCTCTAATGATGACACTATAGTGCAACTGCAACACTGTCAATGCATGATAAGGATATCAATTATATTTATTTTCGTGTCCAAAGTACACCGCCAACGCAGTGTAACAGCACTACGCCTTTTCCTTACAGTTGTGACCATCGTTATCATGACAATGATCGTACGTACCTATACTGGTGCGAACATTATAACGTTTGCGATTGCTCAGCGGGCACGAGCCTGCTACCGAGAAGTTGTTTGGGCGAAGTTCAAACCAGTGCGCCACATGGATCATGTGATACCCCCATTTCCAAAGTCAAGGTACGCCTCGAAAAGAGCCATGTGTTAAACGCCATAGGGAAAAATCTAAGCCATAGTGTAGAGCTTTGTTGAATTCGCGGGATAATAGCTTGATTTTCGCATATGGTTTTTGTGCACAGAAGTGTTTCAAGCCTTGGTGGTATTTATCACGCAAACGTTTGCATACATCAGTGTGTTGTAAAGGTTGCAGAATGCACACGTTGGAAAAGCGTTGCAAATAAAATACTCTACCGTCACGCGGTGAGGCGGAAATTAAATAAGATTTCTCTCGCAGGGTCGGCTGCCCAAAATAAAAATCATGAGCCATTCAGAAGGATTTCGAGTAAACTGATATGGCTCCTCAAAACGTAGGCGTCTGATCTAACAATATGTGAAAAGTAGAAAAATGTGGAACGCTCCCTTTAATTTCCCATAAATACGTCATTTACCGCAGACGGAAATTCTCTTAAACCCCACAAACAGAACTTCACCCGCCATGGGCCTGGAAATCTCCAACAGCCTGAGGCCGCAAACCTCTGCCATGCCCAGGGGCGAAACTACCCTCCGGTCTAGAACAGAGAAATCCCGCACTACCTGGGGCCGAGGGCTAAAATCCCGCACCACCTGGGGCCAAGAGCTAAAATTTCGCACTAACTGGGGCCGAGAGCTAAAATCCCGCACTACCGGGGGCCGAGAGCTAAAATTCCGCACTACCTGGGGTCGACAGCTTCCAGCCTACGCAGGGGCGGAAATTATCACGTACCTGGGACTGGGAATCACGAACGACTTTGGATTGAGAGCTGTTCACCTACCTGAGAGTCGGATCTTTCCATTTACCTGGGGGTGGGAGCAGACGGCGGAGCCGACCCACGACGTGATGGTGTCTGGCATGTCTTGGGTCAGCACTTTGATGCCTTCCGGGCTGTTGGCACAGAAGGTTCCAGAGTCGGTGAGGAAGCGGGGAAGCCAACCGGTGACAAAGGTAACGGTCACTGTTTGAAGTGCGAACTAACACCACGCTAAGGAATAATGGTGATGCGCTTGAGGAAACAGTTCACCTTGAAAACAAAATGGACGATCCCAGGAGCATAAAAGAGGTGTCACGTATGCCACGCGGCACGATACCGAGTTGAAAGACTGGATCAAAACGTGTATATAACACGAAGAAGGATAGGTTTACATCTGGGTGGACTCAAGTACGGTAAACTTAAGAAAAGACATGTAAGTTTCAATACAGCTGAGCAGCTCATTTACCCCGTCTGATCTACCGAGTGGCTCGTGCCTGCGACCCCTTTAACAGTGCGCATGTTGCAGGAATATCAAAATACTAAATCACAGTCGGTAATCACAAGCAAAAACGATGGAATACAGCGCAAAGAGCGAGCGTATCTGACCACCACAACGACGCCATCTGAAGAACAGCCTACATAGGTACAGGCTAGCCCTCAGAGGAACGGGTCAGCTGCCTGCACCGCATTCATCAGACTTCTGGCTCACCCAATCGTCTCGATGGAATAGAGGAACGCCTCCGGGAAAAAGTCGCGAATCTGTTCCTCGATCCGACCTAGTTGGCCTACTGTTCCAGCTCCTGTCGATGGTCCACCACTGCTTGCGTGTACCCTCGGGGGTGCAAACTGCACCTGTGGAGCTCCGAAGCGTCTGTCAGGGTCAGGCCGCGCCTGGCGGCAAAGGAAGCACCGGAAGACAGAGACACCATGCACTCGGCTGAGCATGTGTCACACGTCACGGTATGGTTCGCCCAACAAAACTCAGAGCGTAGCCACGCGATCGCATCTATCCCGAAGTCGACGTGGCTCACCCACGGTCTTCACGCGCTTCTTGCACGTTTCATTGGCGAGAATGACTTACCCCTGCTGGCGAAGGAGGAACCTTCATCTTTATGTAGCAGGGCCTCGTCTCCAACACCAGGTTGGTTACCACCAGAAAGCCCGTCTCCTGAGGCGGCAAGGGCGGGCAGAGTACTCAGTTATGTCCACCCTTGTCTCATGGACATGTCATATTGTCACAAGTCCACTCACTGTCTTATGGACACCTCATATTGTCATAAATCTACTCACTGTCTTATGGACATCTTCTTTGGAGGAGTTGGACGTTTTGCTAGCTAAGCATTCAAATACGTAAGATCCTGCACGTCATGCGCGCCTTCATTAAACACGCATGTAAATTGTCTTGCATCTTGCCAGCATTAAGCTGCTAAATAGAAGTGCGTGCGTGCGTGCGTGCGTGCGTGCGTGCGTGCGTGCGTGCGTGCGTGCGTGCGTGCGTGCGTGCGTGCGTGCGCGCGCGCGTGCGTGTGTGGGTCCACCTTTCTGCTCACCCCGCAAGCCCCCTCGCTAACGGGCAGGTCGAGGCAGGGCTCACGTTTGTGCTCTTTGAGAACCGAGCGTGCCAAATATTCGACCTGGTTTATGACGGTCCGCTGACTCCCAGAGAGCAGACCCATGTTCTTTGAGCGCTCCGTGTCATCATCAGTTATGTTAAGCGCACACCGGCCTCGTCATAAATGGTATTCAATGCATGTGTACTTATATTTGTTGTTTCAATAGAGCTAGAGCTCAAACACGTATCAGCCACAAAGACTGCTTATTTGAACGCCCTGCAATACCGCAGGGTCGTCAAGGTCGACCCTCGTCAAGGTTATGCGTGAGAGTTACTGAAAAGACAAATGCCTGTAAACCCGGAAAAGCCAAGTGGAACTCCTCAAATTCGAATATCTTGCCCCTTCCACAACTGTGCTAAAATAGGCTAGGTTTACCTCCCCCATACTTATGTGGTGAAAGACAGATTTTACAACAGCTTTAAACACAATCGAGGCAGTCCGAAATATTTTAAACGCCGCTGGTAAACCACAAAGTAAGGTTTTGCCAGCGTTGCAATGCTCGTTGAGACTTTTGCCCGAGCCATCAAACGCGTAGTCGTCAATAACTGCTCGTCACTAGCCGTTGCGATGAATGCCTGTTTGAGGCACGATAACACTGAGCGTTTTTGAAGGTGCTTTCTACGTGCTCATTGGTCCAGCTCTAAGGGCCGGAAAGCGTAGCCATATATCAAGGTCGTAGCCAGCATTTTATGATAAGGCTTGATGAGTAAGCATCGTGCCGATTTTTGAACATTCTGTCAAGATACCTCCTTAGGGAACCATATTGGCCTTAGGAAGGGTCCGATCCCCTAAGACCCCTCACTTGGTTGCGCCTCCATTAAATCTATTAATAAACTGGAATCCATTGCTGGTGAAATATGCATACAATAAGGCACCCATTATCAAACGGACTACTTTGAGCACGCAGATCAGTTCAAGCATCACCACTGACTTATCAGCAGCCAGCATGCTCGACGCAAATGCCTCTCTCACCACGCTTGTTCTGTGCAGCACTGAGTGCCCGTGGGTGAGGCGAAGCTCCCTTGTTTCAGCGTCCGCCTCCCAGTCATTTGCTGGACGTAGATTGGATTATGGCTTATCAAAATGGTGGGTTGTTGATCGCCCGTTACAATCGGTGTCCGAGATCCACAGCTGCAGACACTGCCAAGTGTGTAGTCAAATATCAGGCATCGAACACTCACGTCGAATGCCTTCAGGGCGTCGAACCGGTCGGTTCTGAAGGGGCTCCGGTGGCGGTGTCCCGCGCGACCTCTGAGAACGGATGCCACCCGCCTGTGAGGAGGGCCGCGCGGCGTTCTGTCCCTGCTCTTCATTCGATGCACCGCCCCTGGAGGTGAAGACCAAGACGGGCCGTTACAGGGGTCACACAGCTCGAATGGCGGTACAGCCACGCGGAAACGGAGCAGATGTGCCGGGGGCGCGGGATGGTGCACTTCATACCGTTGGAGGTGACGTTGAATGAGTCAGATGTGTCTCCATCCTGGCTGGTCTTGCCATACCTCAAACCCGACCCCAGAGATTGAAATATTACCAATAGGTTTTCTGGATATACAGACTATATTATTTGAGGTAAAGTAGTCGCTTTGTCGAAGCTCATTCATAAAAGTTGTCCCACAAAATATGCTAAGAAACTTGAAACCCGTCTAGCCGTCAGGCAAGGTGAACGTGGGCAATTGATAGACATCTTGGATAAGCAATTATTCGGACACAGAGGTGGTAAAACGTGTCGACGTGGTGCGTGAGGTCGGCACCAAGATGATTCACATGAAGCTTGGGGTCAACAATGCTGTTAACAGGAAATCTTGGTGACGGCCACGACGACGTTATATAGCGCACACTGAACAACCTAACATAAGGCCTCCATACACAGATCTTTTCCTTTCGTGGAAATGCATTTTGTCACACAACACAAGCAATTATGTCCTTGAAGACTCTTTAAAATACCCCACGGCACTATGGAATATTTTTTAAGGTTGCATCTCAACCAGGTAACAAAAACATCCGATCCTGTTTAGATGATCGTTCGACTTGGCAACAGATCAGCGACAAATCAGTGCATTTCCTTTGGCCGACCGGGTCGGCCGATTCACAGTTTTTACCATCTGACTCTCAATGTCCCAAAATAGACAGCATAAAATAACGAAAAAGACCTAGATATAGGAATTTATCTCGCCGCACGGGGGATGGGGTATGCTTCAATCGTTGCGATGCGACTGATATGAGATGGACGGTGACTTGCAGTGCACTGCGATTTTGGAAGTGGTCTTCACATTGGAATGTATAAATACCTGCCTGAGGTTTGATTTTTGAGCCTTGTTTACTTCGTTGGCGGTGCCGTATTTCAACATCCTGCCCTCAGCGACGGGAGGTATTGACAGTTGAAGATAAGTCGACGAGATGATCTCATTGAGGAAGAAATTGACTTATGATTATCCAGACCGCCTTTTCAAGACACAGAAAAGGTTGTCGATTCACTGTAGCAGTCACAAGCGACCAGTTTTCCTCCCTTTGAAAAAACCATGGTTTCGATGTTAAAGCCTGATGGCATTCCTCATGAAAGAGAATGACAGGAGGGGGAAATGGTTTAGAAGTACCAATTTATGTCATGCTTGCTCTTTGTCCTCATTGAGAATGGTTACAAGCCACATATATATACAAATGAGAGTTGCACCTAGTTGTACCTGGTTTCCTATTGATTTCAGGGCCCCATCACTTCCACTGGGTTTGTGAAGAAGTGTGTCAATCTAGGAAAAATTCATATTCTGATGGTGTTGTTAGTCCCTCCCACTCGATCAAGTCAACGGTCAAATTTTCCTGAAAATCAAACTATTTCAGCTTTGCATGCTCATATGTACGAAGCTATGCAGCGCAGAGACATGGAAAGTAAAGAGCCATATTCTTCGTTTAATTATGAGTGAAACGGTATGCAGTTTGATCTGTTTTGAGCCTGCATTTATAATGGAGACCCTCGTTAATGTAACAGCACCAGCCCTCCGCGTGAGGCCCTCGAAATCGTCGCTTGCTTGCTGTCCCCGTCGCTTGCTTGCTGTCGCTTGCCGCTTGCTGTCCCCGCCGGCATGGGATCGCCTTGCGGTGCTCGTAAATAACAGTCGCTTTTCCGAAATCAGAAACGCTTGGGACACGTTTTTGGTGTCAACACACGCGCAATAGATGCCCCAGAGGCTACTGAGGATTTCAGCGCTACTACACAGTATTCCGGACTGGTATCCTCACAAAATCGTATTTGGGGAGTGGTATCGCTTCCTCCCTCCTGTCAGAGCGAGTATATTGTTCAGCTAGAACTAGAAGCCTGGTGTGAAGCTTTTAACTAATTGTAATGCTATCTACTAGTTGGGACACGGTGAAAGGCACCCGCCCGGCAACACATGTGCCAGGCTTGGAGCATGCCTAAGGTAGGATGTAGAGTTTGATGTGGGTTGAGATGGGGCTCGAAGCGCACACGTGATTTTCATTAGGGGCATGACCTCGGGGAGGTTCACTGTGTGACGTCATCCCTGTGCTGCTCGCCACCGGTTCAAGTTCTGTCACGTATTCAGCTGGCTATAGAGGTCCTTCGTCGTTTTTTTTCGCGGTGGAGGAAAGCAATTCCAGCCCTAGATCGAGTTTAAGCGCGACGTCCCTGCGAGTCCCGAAGGCGGCAGAAAACTGCCATTTTGATGGGGTTATCCGATAGTTTAGGGCCGTTGCGCCTGCTTTCCTAGCAGGAGCAGTTATTCTGGCATTAGTTGAAGGACATTGTATAATTGAAGCGTTTTGTGAAAATTGCGGTGATGAAAGAAGCTTTCATTGATAAACTGACTCTTGATGCCGCTACTGTGCATGGACTTCATACCAATTTATATCATATGGTATCTTGTTACGCTGCTTGCGGTAAATTTCCCTGCAAAATTTGGTCGGCAACAAAAGGTACACTTTTACAACCTCTGTTTGGAGCAAAAGCGCACTTTTTTTATAAAATATCTGACCTCGGCCCTGCCCATCCCGGCGAGCCAGGGACTGGGCCCGCAGAAGACCGTTGCGCTACAATGCTACCCTGACATTAAACCGCAAATCAAGTCAACCAGGATTTGTATTTCGCCACGTCTCCGTCATTTTGGTGTTGCATATTAAGTGCGTATAGCATGCCATGTCAGTGTCATCCAATGCACAGCATTGTCTGGCCAATACCAGTGACGGTGCCTAGACAGTGACGATGAAAATACTTGAACTATGCAATTCTCATTACACCAAAGTCGCTATCAACACTGTAACGCAAGCTTTTGACTACGAATGAAAAGATGAAGGGAGGAATTCAAAAAGCCTTTTCACCAACGTATGCCATCGATTTCGCTTTGGTACCGAATTCGATAAGTCACCAAAAATTGCAGCCATCTGACTGATACAATTCATGCATGAAAGGATGGCTTTGTACCGACTGAACAAAGTAATGCTGGGTACTTAAAGTCATGGGAGCTGTCCTCAGTTCAGTCATCTGTACACGAGCGCAAACATCCTTCGAATGTGGCACAATCGTCACAGTGTCATAAACCGTATTCAAGGACCAAGTGCAGAATCTCACATGGTGTTTGCTGCCCTTAAAATGATACATCATCTGGTCCGACTTCTCACCAGCATGCGCGTTAGTGCATTAGGATATTTACAGTGTTTTGGGCGCTTATTTATCTGTTCATTCCCAGGTGCTTTCAAGAGCCTGCGATCCAGATGTAAAGAGATCGGGGAGATCTCTACGGCATTGCGTGTTACGGGCATGGGAAAGGCGAAAACAACCAAGGCCGTGGGAGATCAAAGAGAAACGAGTAGTTAAGACAGCAATAACAGCCTTGTTCCCTATAGATAAACCAGGAGAATGAGACAGAGATGCGTTGCGTGATTGCGTTGATGTGTGGTGCGTGCTAGCCCAAAATCGTTCACATGCATGACTGATCTCTGGCGCTTGGAACAAACATGAATCTGCCTGAAGTATACATGTAATTAATAATAGGACAGCTCACTCGTTGTATCACTGCAGACGGTTTGCAATAGCAAATGTGATTGATGAGCCGGAAGTCAAAAGGTGATCCATGGAACAGAACTGATTACGATTATTTCCACATCACCGGAAGACAGACACCGGAAATAGCCACAAATGGTAGTATCCGAGACTTACGGAGACGTCGCACGCAAGAATGGGTTGCTTTATTGAACGGTGACGGAAGGAAAGTGGTCATCTCCCGAGGCTTGCAAAAACCGGACTCTGAAGATGAAACGTGACGCGAGCAGTTGTCAGACAACCTCTCGCTCTCTCCCTCTCTCTCTCTCTCTCTCTCTCTTTCTCGTCAACCTGCATTCAATGCTCTTCAACACCCTTGGCTCCGCCTCTCGCAAAGACAGGCTAGTGCGTGGAGGACCCCCGCTTCCCAAGGCAGACATACCTTTGCAGGATGTGAGCCAGCCTGCTCTGTAGGTTTTGACAATACGTCTCTGTGTCCACCTGAAATCGTTATCACATGCATCATATCATACATATTCCACGACACAGCGGTGGATCTTAATATGATCAAAGTACCGGGTTTCAACACGGCTTGCTTGGGTTTACGGGGAGGGGAAGATGCGTGACACAAGCAAGTTAACATTTCAGACTGAAGGGACCTTTCATGCTGCATTGCAAAAGACGAGGATTGCGTGGTGGGGCTGTGTGAGGAAAAGTGTCGACAATGTTTTAATCCATTCCTTCGCGTCACCGAGAAGGAAACAGTCAGCATAAAAGGTCGATAGATCTGTTCTACGTGTACCGGCCGGTCAAAGATGACACCGCCAATCTCCTTCCCTCTCCCCCCGGCTGATGACCTGTCTAGGGGCGTGAAAGGCGGTTGTGATCCACTGCCTCAGCCGACCAAACACGTCCTCCACGGTGATCTGGTTGCCAGTGCCCAGCAGCTCTGTGCGCCGGTCCACGGCGCCTGCAGGCGGAAGCACACTGCCAGTTGTGCTCGGTCGAAATGAGCACACCGTCAGTCGTTCTCAGCCGTCGGGAACACACCGCCAGTCGTGCTCGGTCCTCGGGAGCACACCGTCAGCCGTGTTCGGTCGTTGGGAGAACACCGTCAGCCGTGCTATGTCGTCGGGAGAACACAATCAGTCGTGCTCGGTCGACAGCAGAGGAGCACAGCAAGAGAATGCTGAGCGTAGCAGATGTGATACAATGATCCGAACGAGTAACTTTGCGTGAATACCTACAAAAAATGTGATCTGATAAATCACGCTTGTGTGACCTATGTCATGCCTATCACACCGCTCTATTCATCCATGCGTCGGTGTGGTTAAAACTCCTGTTCTCCACATGAGAACGGGAGAACAGGATTTTAGAACTGAGAGAACTAGTCCTCTGCACGTATACAGAGGATCAGTTTACTTCTCAGGCAGGCTAAACTGACTGTTTCCCACCAGCCGATGGTAACCGCATAACTCCAGCAGCTGCGGCGTCAAAACCTGTCTCAAAGGTTACATGATATCACTTGTAGAGGTTTTGTGTTGCTGGAAGCGGCAAGCTTTGTCTAGAGAGAGTCATGGGCTGTCTACGGAAGTCGCTTCTAAACAGGGTGCTTCTGCTGCCTTTCAAACATCCGGGATGGACTGCGGCCAGGACCAGAGCCGTCGATAGGTATGAATGTCAATGACATCTGGGGAACACTCGGTGAAGTGGTAGGGAGGGATGCAACATTGGCCATCATGCCGCAGAGGGGGGCAATCAAAACAATGGGTTTATCTCTGAGTGGACAGCGTAACGAACAGTTCTACTGGGTAACAGCTGACTGCCCGCTAGTAGGATTTGCGGACACCTGCCTCGTGCACGCCTGACACAGCTGATGCTGGTGAGAGGTCACGTGACAGCACGTGACACGGGGTAGGGGGTACTCACTGACGCCACACACGGAGTCGGGCGAGGCGCTGACGGTAAAAGAGGCGGACTCCCCGGGCCGGGCCGTCTCCTTGTCCCAGCTGACATCCACCTGACAACAGAAGATGTAAGCATTGCCGGATCCAGAAGGTGAGGAAGGGGTAGGGGTAATGCCCGCTCCCCTTGGATCCCGGAGGGGCACATATTCAAAAACAGAATGCAACAAAATTGACTGTTTTTCGTCCTCCAGGCGACAAAGAACGGTTGCGTGCGAAAGTGAACGGTCCAAGATCAGGCACAAATGCTCATTTGCCGATTGAGAGGGTAGTGGCTGGGGAGATTTTAAAGCTCATTTCGCCATCCAGGTCCCTACACTGTTACTAGGCGACCTATAGGTCCACTTGCGAAATCAATCCGACCGTTAAGGAGCCTTCCACGATGCCCTTGATTTGTTTGCATTTACCCGGAGGCCCTTAGCTGTTGTCGGGAAGCTACCTCTCAGCATGCCTGGGCACTCTCGATCGATCAGGGCTTCTCCGCGGTCATTCGCCTTAAAAGCTGTATATACTATTGTCGGTGCCCCATATTTGTATCCGCCGTGGTACTCCCGGCTGCGCGAGGGCTCTTCAAATGCTCGCACTCTTCGCGCGAGATTAAGAAAATTTGCCTCGAGTTTCCGTAGTCTGACCATTGCGCATGCTGTGTTCCCCATTTGTGTAGGGCTTTAAACTCAAAAAACCATCCTGAAGATCATTCGGCGCCGTTTACAACCCTCTAGGTTCTGAGCTATACGCCCGCGAACGTGTGCAAACTACTTCGCGCTTATTATTTCAAGGTTACTCAGGCATGCATAGTTCGAATGCTGCCACCCCGCTGGCCATGTGACGTTCAAGACCAAAACAAGGATAACCGTCGAGTGGTTCGTGCCTGGCGTTCGTGTGCAGGGTTTCTAGATAATGCTGACTAAAGCCAATGGCTCTAATAGGTTGTCAATCAATGTTGTGAAGGCAGAGCAAGTTTCAAACACAAATCACGTTTTGCGCTGCATGATATAAGAAGTTGGGCATGACTGGTAGTTATTACGGAGATAAGACTTGTAATCGAATAATTGATTTATAACGTCATAACTGAGCATAAGAAAACAATTCAAAGGCGTAATTTCACCGACAAGTATGCAAGAGCATCAGGTGAAGTGCAAAAACGCGAGCACATAACGATATTTGCTTCAGCAAACACGTCCAGCACCGCCACTGTCACCTATCGACAAGTTGAAGCACTACAAGTGAGCGCTAGGTCGGCAATTTCGCACGGCCGATTTGGCAGTACCTCTAATGTCATTCAGCCGATCCATGGTATCAGCAAACAATGACGTGTTTAGAAGCACATTTAACGAAAAAACAAATTTTGTGGTTTGTAGAGTCTTTCCACTGAAAAGTATGCCCATAATTTTAAGTGAGCATATGCCATTATATCTGGTGGTTGTTTCAGCATCTTCAAACACGGGGCAGTCCCTCCAGGCGTAGTTCTAAGCTTTGTTGCTGAGTCCCTACAGAAGACCGTAACGTTGGAATCTACCAGTCCTTCGACAACACTACTGCACTTCAAATGTCACTCGTTTTCAGTGCACCTATTTCCGCACGCTGTCGCACCTGGTTATTGAAGCACTTCTCCACCTTGAGGATAGCCGCGTCGCTCACCACCTCGCCCGAGTCCAGCACGAAGAACACCAGCAGCTTGAACTGCGGGCTCATGGCCGGCGTCACCGGCAGTGTCAGGCTCGAACTGAACACTCGGCCTGATTGCAGGATCTGGCTACGCGCCATTACCTGCCAAACAGAGGGGCCATGGAGATGACGTCACGTGACTCCGGTTCCTTTTAGCGCTTGCGCAACGCATGCAACAAGACTGAGGGAACATTTTGACAGAGCGTGAAGCCATCTGGCATGGAGCCAGAATTCAAGCCGAGGATTCTGACAGAGCATGAAGCCGACTGATTCCTGTCTCAGCGGGGATAGTCCTGTAGAAAAATCCCTTAACCAGAGACATCTAGCGTTTGAGGCGTTCTTTTCTTAGTGTCATCGTCACAAATGCCCATGACGTCAGCTTCGTACCTGGTATACCATTGGCGGTACGTCCGTCTCCAGCGACGTCAGCAGCTGGACGGTAATGTCACCGCGACATGGCAGCTCGTTGGGCAGCAGGTGGGCGTCAATGGTGAGGTACGAGTCGGAGGGGGAAAAGAAGGCCACGAGATTGCGCTCCACGTCACCGTCGCCTCTTCCCGGATTCAGCTGGTGGACGTACCACGCGCCACTGTAACCTCTCACTGTGCGGTGACGTCACCCACTGCCGTCAACGTTAAACTGTGCCATGCAGCTAATGAGAGTCGACAAATGGACATGGACGTCTACACACGTGCTCTTGCATCAGGCTACAGATGCCGGCACCATGCCACATGCTCTGACATCATACGAAGGCTTTGACGTCACCGAAAATGATTGAAAGTCACAATACCGTCGGAAACGTGATGATACCAGTCTCAACTTTCGTGTGCTGTCCATGACGTCACCACACTGACTCTGAAGTCACCAAGCTGACGTCACCATTCCTACTCTACTCCTACTCTGATTATTCGGCGAAAGAAGACACTACCACGTCGTCGACCCTGATGTTAACAAAACAATGTTGGCACCAACCTGCTCACCCTGACGAAACAACAATGTGTGACATTACCACAGTGACTCCGACCCAGCCACACTAGCTCTGACATCACCACACTTGGTCTGACGTCACTACGCTGGCTCTGGCAAATCTACGTCAACAAAATTAAACCCCTACGTTTAACGTGATGTCACCCACTTACCCAGCGTGATCAAATTAGCGATGACTCTACCACAGTGACTCTGGTGTCAACGCAGCAGCCTTTGCGTCCCGCCGCTGACTATAACGTCAACACACTAACCATGCTAGCATATTGGCATTAGCAGCGCACAGCGCCTTTGACATTTCACACTGACCCTGAAATCACCACCGACTATGCCGTCACGAAACTGATTCCGCTCTCAACATACTCACCCTAACGTCACACACGGACCCTGACACCACCACAAGCATGTCACCCTGAAGCGACGCTAACGCCACAACCCCGGAGTCACTTCCTGAACCTGACGTATCATGCCGAATCTGGCGTCACACGGCGATATGACGTCACTACATTCACAATGACGTCACGTCAGACTGACCTTAACGTCAACACTGTCCACGATGGGCGCTTGCGGCGGGACGAAGTAGAGGAGTTGGCCCTGACTGTCGGTGGTGAAGTTGCGGCACTGTTCGGCCGTCGAGAGTCGCTCCGGATCCTCCGTCTCCCAGATCAGCGGCGTGTAGCCGAACTCGTTCTGCAAGCGCTCCGAGTGCTGCTCGGCAGGGCAGGTCAGGTCCAGTCAGGCCCGTTCGGGGCAAGTCAATTCAGGACAGGACAGGGAAGGACAACGCAAGAACAGCGGGGGTTCAACGGCATCAGTATGCATACAGAAAGTATAGCGAACAGGATAGGACAGGGTGGGATGTACGAGATACGGAAAGACAGTGCGGAGTCGAGTCGTGGTTCTAGGCAGGTCAGGTCAAATGGGCCTGATCAATCGGTGTCTAAATCGACGAGTTCCGCAGTCATGTCTATCTTAATTTCAACAGAGAGCGCTAAGAGGGAAAAACGTCGCTTGGCAGCATACGTCGCCACAGCGACAGGGAAAACAGAACATCTCTGTTATGTTATTAGATACACAGCCCTTTTCGAGCCGACATACCCTTCTATAGACGTCAAACAGGGCATCATCTATGGTCTTGGTGGGATCGCTCCCGCTTTTTCTGAAATGTCATATCACCCATCGTGAAACACATATTCAGTGGCGCACAGCCTAGCGTGGAAAAAGCCACACCATGAGTCGTTAAGGTGGTACGGCACAGTGCCTTGGTCCTGTCTCATGGTTCCGTGGCCGCGCGCAATGGTCCCGTGGTCGCGTGCAGTGGTCCCGTGGTCGTGTGCCATGGTCCCTTGATCGCGTGCAATGGTCCCGTGGCCGCGCGCAATGGTCCCGTGGTCGCGTGCAGTGGTCCCGTGGTCGCGTGCAATGGTCCCTTGGTCGCGTGCAGTGGTCCCGTGATCGCGTGCAATGGTCCATTGATCGCGTGTAATGGTCTCTTGGTCGCGTGCAATGATCCCGTGGTCGCGTGCCATGTCCCCATGGTCGCATGCAATGGTCCCGTGGTTCCATTCCGCTGTCTCTCTCCTCCGTGTCGCGCCGTCGGGGCCCGTGTCGTTGTCCTATCGCTCCGGGTTATGGCACCGTGTTCTCATGAAAACTCATGTCCGTGTGTTTACGTGACACACACGGCATCAAATGATAACAACATGTCCGGTCCGGCAATACAGCTCTGAAGGTACCTCCGTCTGAAGGTACCTGAAAGTACCAGACCACGTATCACCAGTCACTCGAGAGCACCAGTCATCCGAACATCTGCTGGGTGGCCAGTGTCGCGCGTCATACAGACCAAAGAGATAAGACAGTAGTAATAGCCTTATTCTCTGGGAAAATCCGGGAGAATTGATATATAGTTGGGTTGATATTTCGGCAGCATGCGTAGGCTGCATGAGCACAACATGCCGTACTATTTAAGCCTCTTTGGTCTGTAAGTTGTTCAGTGCATTAGCGAGGAACATTATACACAGATAAGACAGCGGTATTAGCCTCATTCCCCGGAGAGAAACCAGGAGAATGGAGATATAGTTGGGTAATATTTCGGCAGCATGCCTTTATCTAAACAATAGCAGAAGGTGAACAAACAACAAAGAACAAGCAACATTCTCTTCAAACACATCACAATCATGCAAGCAATGTGTGAGTTCATTTCTTCCAGTTAAAACAGCACGAACAATGAATGAGAAAATAATGAAGTGGTGTTGAAAAAAGAAGTTTAGCGTTAGCACTAGACACATATTACGTCTGCTTAGATGTGCCAGTAGCTAAAATTTTTCGCCCGCAAGATGGATGATGAAAACGCAGCGAGCAGCGCACTCACATGGCAGTTCTGTCCTTGTAGTTGGCCTTAAAACACACCAGGACGTCCTTTTCGGCAAGGGGCGAGCTATCCCGGTCGAAGGCACTGAACTGGAATCGGACGACGGCGTGCCGTATGCGTCAATGCGATGCTGAAATGATTAGATGCTGCGTGCCGACATGTCACGTTCACATATGTCTCGTTCCATATGAATGCAAACGGCTTGGGAAGATTTGCCGAGATCTTATGACACACTAAGTACGCTTTTATATCCCAAATGCAAGCAATGCACGGTGTCTCACGAACATACCGCAGTTCTTTCAGACAGTGAAATCGCTTTTCATGTTCTGTAGATGCACTTCAAATATTGATATCCTCTTTGAAAATCCGATGCATAGAGAAATGCACACGTCATGTGCATGTAAAACCCATCAGCCCTGACCATCCTCAACCAGGCAGCCGGGTTACAGGCATACCTGCGAAGCCAAACAAGTCTGCACTAGTCATTGCAAAGACTGACATCATCATTGCACTCACAGGCAACCTATAACACAAGCGCCCTCCATCACCAGAAGTCAACCGAGGCCGTGATAGCAGGAGTCATGGCCTTCGACAGCGCACTCCGTACAAACACACAAACACAAACTGACCCGGCCGTAGTAGGGCAGGCCGGGCTTGATGAACTGTTGGGTGTTGTCTGGAATGTAGCCCGTGGCGGATCTGGAGGGAGGTCTGTGCACCGAACGCGTCTGTGATTGGCTGAGACCCGTGCCAAACTCCTCCACGGTCACGTTAATGAGGGCCTGAGATCGAACAGGTCACATTGGAGTTAGTAAACAGATGATACAGCCAGCATTTGCATCATCCAAAAATAGTGCGTTTACCGATTACCGCCCACTAAAGCTTTTTTCCCCAATGTATCTAAGATCAAGCGAAATTATCCAAAAACTGCGCATAGATTTCTTGAAGGAAAAACAACCTCACTTACATTCAGCTATAGTCGGGATTATCGGTCATGTCCGTGTGTTTACGTGACACACACGGCATCAAAGGATAACAAAATGTCCGGTCTGGCAATACAGCCCTGAAGGTACCTCCGTTTGAGAAGTACCAGACCACGTATCACCAGTCACTCGAGAGCACCAGTCATCCGAACATCTGCTGGGTGTCCAGTGTCGCGCGTCATACAGACCAAAGAGATAAGGCAGTAGTAATAGCCTTATTCTCTGGGAAAATCCGGGAGAATTGATACATAGTTGGGTTGATATTTCGGCAGCATGCGTAGGCTGCATGAGCACAACATGCCGTACTATTTAAGTCTCTTTGGTCTGTAAGTTGTTCAGTACATTAGCGAGGAACTTTATACATAGATCAGACAGCAGTATTAGCCTCATTCCCCGCAGAAAAACCAGGAGAATGGAGATAAACTTGGGGTTGATATTTCGGCAGTATGCCTTTATCGAAACAATAGCAGAAGGTGAACGAAGAACAAGGAACAAGCAACACCTCTGCTATTGTTTCGATAAAGGCATGCTGCTGAAATATCACCCAACTTTTTCTCCATTCCCCTGGTTTTTCCCCGGGGAATAAGGCTAATACTACTGTCTTATCTGTATATAAAGTTCCTCGGTAATGCACTGAACGACATATAGACCAGAGGGACTTAAATAGTACGGCATGTTGCGCTCGTACGGCCTATGCATTCAACTTAGCAAATCACACTTCTGCACTTCACTAGCCGAAACCCTACATGGTTGTCAGTGTCATCTTTACTGTCCGGATGATTTATTTACGATCTTGCCACAGACACTGCAGATGTTACAACCAGTTGGTATACTACAGTGGTGTACTTCAGCTTATCTGTTTTGATCATATACTTTTTAATAAAGATATATCTAGTTTATCACTTTTTGTAATGCAATATTCAATCTGAGAATATTCCGTCTACTTGTGCGTTACTGGGCACAATAGTTTTTTCCATATTTTCTCGTTGATATTGTGAGCAAAGCTCCCAATGTGCAACGTTCATACCTTATGAAGGTAACAATTCGTGACACTCATACCTCACAAAGCTCACAATCTGCAACACTATCCGCAATGCTTGCAGATGTTGCGGATTTACTATTTATATATTTTTGATGATGTTTCAAGTGATTTCCGGGCCATTGACGTATCTCTCGTCTACCAAGTCGTCTTCAGGGGGTTCCGATTAACACCACCGTTGTTTTTATCCTGGACACGTTGTATCACGATCAGTGCAGTGCTCTTCGGTGCAGCAATTGCATCACAAAAACATGGCCGAGCAGAACAAGTACAAGTGGTTTACTTACATCAGAATGATTTATTACTTACTGAAGCGTATGGCCTTGACAATAGCTCATCCACAACCAGATCTGAGTAGGCGCAGCCTGTCTTGTCCGTCTGTAACAACGGGAGCAAGGTAACGCGCCTCGTCAAAAACAACAGAAACACGGTAATGTGTCTCGCTTGTAGCAAATCAAGCACAGTAACACCTCTCGTCTGTAACAACAAAAACACGGTAGCGTACGTCGTCTGTAACAATGGTCATGTGATACGGTGTCTCGTCTGTAACAGCCCACACGGGGCAACACGCCGGCTGTGTACAATGCTGACCAGCACAGAGGTCACCTGTTGGCCACGTGACGAAAGAGGGTTTGGGTTCTCAGCAAACGTTGATGGTAATAATCAGCTCTGATAATTATTGGCTTGTCGAGGCATCACAGTCATGACCCCGTAACTCCGACGCCAGGTCAAGATGTCCCAAACAGTTGTCAACATTCTAGATAGCCCCAGCAGCCACAGACTCACCGTGAGGGTGTCACTAATACTGTTTGCAGGACCGCGCCTTGTCGTCACGTTCACCGTCACGGCGGCTGCAATCAGTGGCTGACCGAAGGTGTACCTGAGGTGCGCAAGGTCAGCGGACGTCATCTCGTGACGTCTTAACACGCGTCCGGGTGGCCGGTTGGATACCCTTCGCTTGGGTGGGGTGGGGGCCAATTTGACCCACTGAGATCTCAGAAAATAGGAGAGCTAGAGACACCAATCCACAGGGTGTGTTTGCTTGTCCGTTAGCTCACTTGTGTCAAAATTTGAGGTTATTAGATTATGATCTTCAGGTCAAATGCGGTCAAAAAGTAAGACCTCAGATTGGTGTCCGAGCTGCCCCAGACCTTCTAATGCAACCAATGCTCCTAAATACCTGTTCTAAGAAAAATTCACTTGTACTTTTCTAAGGTCAGTGACCTTGTCTGACCCTCCAAAGGTCATAGTGACGAAAATCACAAAGGACAGTTCTGATGTTTGCATTTGAATAAGCGTAAAGGATTATGCTAGGCCGTACGTCCCTAAAAAAAATGTTTACCTGGTGCATTTTAGATCAGTGACGTATTCTAATCTCAACGAAGTCCATGAAAAATATGTAATGCGGCTCAAGTTATCAATAAATTCAAAATAATCACCGTAAACTACTTCATAGAACAAGCTCTAAGGCAAAACAAACTGGTTTTGACCTTGATCTGACCTTCATACCTGACCTTATGTCAACAAGATTTGCTATTTTACTCGTCGTATTGATTAAGAAACTGCCTCAAAGGTGTACAACCTATCTAACATCCCGTTTTCATCAGACTGAATGATTACCTAGATAGTGTTTTCGCTGAAATCATGTCGTAACGTTGACCTGCCGTAGGTAAATGACCTTATATGGTAAACCTAGACTTTTCTTACCAAACGGTCCGCTATTTAATTGTTTACAGATACGCCAAATTTGGCGTGGCTACATTGCGCCATTCGGAAATCATTCCCGAAAAACCTTCGGGTTAGGAGGTAAGTTGACCCAAGGATCTTGCGTTGCGAAGCTTTTCGAAGGCAAAATTTGACGACATGCAATAACAGAGGCCATCCTTGTTGTCAATCAGCACAAGCGGTCATCAACCTTCGCCAAAATATTGGAGCACGTTGTTGCGAAAGGCATTTCGAACGCATCAAACGAAGTCTTCCCCCTAACTGAGAGACCTGTGACAGCAAATCAGCTCCACCGATGCATGCGGATTATCTTTCATTGCCTGTTATTGCGCTTGGTCCAATTAAATCACGCTTGACCCAATATCTGAGCAATTGTCGCGCCACTGCGCATACTTCACGCGCCGTGTCCATTGTTGCTAACATTGCCTTTGAAAACATGTCGATGTCTTTGATGTTAATTCATCCACGGTGTGCTGCCAACAGCAGGTACTCTTCCAGTGGTCGGTTTGTTTGACCTTCAACTATTTCACCTAGGGCTGCCATGACCCAACATTCAGGAGATCGCCTACAGCATACTCAGTGCGATTTGTTGAAAAGAGATAACTCAGAAATGTGCTGGACTGTTCACGACTAACGAAGAGTAAATTCCTGTATACATATATGTGACATGCCGTGAAAAAAACATCACCGTTGGTGCCTTGTAACATTCAGCCTGTAACATATAATACGGTATCAGACTCTTTAAGTGTCGAAACACTAGGTGGCCAGTGTCAGGAAATACTGGGAAAGCAGAGTTCTCGCCACATAACGGTATGGTAAACCGGGAATGTTTCATGACATCGGAAACCCTGTAAAAATGGCCGGTTGGTGAACCGTTTTCCGCAAATCAGAACCTAAGGCACAACAATTCTCTCTGCACATCACACCTCATTTTTAGCGATGACGCCATCAGCTAATGCACCATTTCCCGCCAATCAGGGCTTACTTGGCACAGACGTCGACGGTGATTGTCTTCTCTCCCTCAAGCAGGTTGTTGGGGCTCTTAATTTTGACCTCGAATGTGGGCAGCACATACTCCTCCACCAGGAAATGTTCGGTTTTGGGTAGTCCATTGGTCTCCACACGTATATCCCAGCGACCCTGAAAGTCAATGACGAAGGCTGCCGAAATGCTCCCAACGGTGCTTGGGTTCACGTAGGCAGTTTTTGCGGTCTTGGGCACGGCTTTGTTACTCAGTCGAGGTATGTACCAATTCATGCCAGTAGATGGCAGCAGGTTGCTGAAAGGCTTCATCAGCATTGACTCTTTGATCGGAGCGTGATCTCACCGGGTAGGAGTGGAGGAGGTATACCTGCAATACGCAGGACACTTGACCTTCATGTGGCCTCATCAAAGGCGACCCCTTTATCAGAGTATGATTCCACCACGCAACGAGCGGAGAGGCGAGAGAGTATAACCGCACCAGGGCTGACTCTCGACCTTCATGTGACCTCACCAGGGGCGGCTCCTCGGTCAGCTGCAGCTCCAGCTGGATGAGGCCTCCGGTGGTCTTGATGTCTCTCCACTGGGCGACGCGAATGTTGCCTGGGGTGGTCACCCACACCTCAGGAATCTGAGGAGCTGTGCCCGGTTGAGAAATAAACACATTCGGCACATGGCTTGCACTGAATTATACGGCGTTGCAGATGAGTTCCTTCTCAGCATGAAAACAGCTTGAAAAACAGACCACAGCGCTTTGCTGCATCAGCATATGTCACCAATGAATAAACTTGGTTGGGACTTCGGCAGCCGTTCGTCACTACCTGCTTGCATTTCCTAATGATATTCACATTCTCCGAGCAGCGATCACTGGAAATAGGTTATAGCCCTCTTCAAATAATCACCCTATAGGGTTTGGCAGTGAATCAATGCGATGTTCGACAGCTCACGTTTTCGATAACAGGAGTGAGGTCATATCTCAGGGATATGACACGGATCAGGACTTTGTCCCCGGGACGGTATCGGGGCTTGTCCGTCTGAATCAGCGTCACCAGCGTGAAGCCCTTGATGGACACCTGAAAGACAAGGAAACATCATGATGCAAGGACTTGTACGCCAAGTACGCAGACAGTGGCAAAATTGGTAGCACCTTTTCCGGAATGTCCTTGCGGTGTATCAATACAGCTTGCGCAGTGTTGACAACTGACTAGGATTTGTACTTACGAATGGATGACCTCAGATAATGGTACATAAGATCGTCTTAAAAAACAAGACTACTAGAAAAGCTAATGAGTCAGTTAATGATATAGGCACTTTATTTCGGTGATAAGCAGCACAAAAACTGACTAGTCCCACCCACGCGCACTCAGATATAAACATACACCACGTATTGTTGTACCTCACTGACAAAGGGCGGCGCAGCAGGGCGGGGGATGGGGTGCTGCTCTCGCCGCCCATCGAAAGGTGGCAGAGTATGTTTTACCCCATTGGCATCAGTGCCCACTTTTTCCCAAACAAAAATACTGCAGCTACACATACGTCCATCAAAAGTTTAGATGTGTGAGACCCTATGACTGAGCTAGGGTACTGAATCAGACTCAAAAAACCCTCCTCTGCATCAAGTGCATGGGCGACACGGACTTTGAGTTAAGGGAAGGATTTCCAGGGGCTTCCTGGACAAAATGGGGCTCTCTCACAGCGCGGGGGGCTCCTGGGCACTGTCGTCTTCAATGAGTTAAGCATCGGGCATGTCTCCTCCCCCTCCCAAAGAAATAAAAAACTGAGTGGCCATCATCTAATTTTCCGGCAAAGGGTCCCACTAACTTGAAACAGGGCCTCTTGTTCCAAAACAGGGCCTCCTGTGCATAGGGGAGCCTCCGCCTCCAGAGAGGAATGCATTTAATTCACAAAGGGGCGTACAAAGCTGGCCAAGGGGCCTCGTTATCCAAAGGGGGACATCCTGAGCCAGACCCGCAGCCGTCTGATGCATGAAAGGGCCTCCTGGTCAACGACTGAACCCTCCTGAACATAGATCGTGCCTCCTACTCAGAACGGAAGCTCCCTAGTCGATAGCGGGTGGTCAGTCAGCGAAGGAGCCCTCGAACACAATGTTGGGCCTCCTTATCTAGAGGATGGGCTTCCGTATTCATAAAGTTGCTCTCATGAACCTACAAACGAGCGTCCTGATGTGGAAATGGTTGTCTGAGTACGCTCTCACACACATCACATCAGGTCACGTCACTTTCTAGGTGAATTATGGCATGGCCTTCTTGACCTTAACTTTGGTAACTTACGAAAAGATACAGTGCTTTCGTTTGGAGAAGGGACCTCCCAAACATTTTAGGGGCTACAAACAAACTCTTCCCCATGATACGCCCTTTCTGATCAGATGAAGCGATGATGATAAAGAAGAAATGATGATAATGTGATAATATATGATATCATTAAATGATAAATATGCGTAAAGGATAAAGATCATTTTTGCATCTTTGTGGATGCGACAGCCCAGGTTTCGGTCAGAAGGCACTATTTTGTGTTGAAAGGAGTGTTCCATATTTATATAGATTTTTGAACGCAAATAGCCATTTTGAAGATCTTTCGGTGTTGTTCACAACCCTGTCATCCTTAAGATTTAAACCCCTTTAATTTCTAAGCCACACGCCCGCGAAAAGCGGGAGAGAATTTCGGGGAGAGTGTTTCAGGGTCATTTTGACATTCATGACGCCATAACAACGCCATTCAAAAGCGTGTCATTCCATAAGCCGTACGTATGTTGGTTTGAATCGTAGCTGCATTGGAGCACATTGATGCTGGGAACTTGGCTGCGTCTGCACGAAATTTGGCTGATTGTGATAGTACGAAGGTGCACATCTGGTATACGGCAGAGGAGAAACTAGTCCACCAAAACAACTTGGTCTCCGCTGGTCAATAGGATATCCAAGTGATTGGCGGAGTTTCTGTCGGAACAAGATTTGACGTATAGTTCTTGCACGGCGCTGTGCTTCATACAAGCATTGTTTTTCCGGCATTACCAGTTGGTTTGGAGAATTTGTACGCGGCTTATAGGTTGCGATCTGATTTAATCCATTGTGCTGGTTCTGTCGCTGGGAATTTCTGACAAAACATATGCAATACGCCGAACAAAAATTGGCTGTGCTTCACTAGAATTTTGACACTTTCTGGCTTACTGGCTTTTTCGCGCGACGCGACGATCCAGGAGCCAGGAGCCAGATCCAGAAACCAGCAGCCAGAAATAAGGAATGCGGCGATCAAGACCAAGAAGAATGTAATTGTTGAGGCGTTCATACCTGGCGTTCTTGAGCGAGATTTCCAGATGTAACTGCAGAGAATAGGCTTTCAATCATTGTTGTGCGAGGTGTGATGATGCAAACAAGTTGTGACGCATCGAGGAGCACATTTACTAAGCCGATAATTGTCTTATCTAGAGCATTTTTTCACTTAAAAGTATACTAATTATAAGTGAGCTTGTTTCACCACATCTGATGACTTCTTCAATATAGGCTTATATTCTGGAACAAACAGCACCTTTTGGACATTAGTAGTCTACTGATACGGATAAAAATGCCGAGCTTTGGTTTCAAAAGACCCTTTTTATATTTTTAAGCATTCCTATCAATCTGGATTATCCTTGCCTGGATTAACAGACTCCCTGACCTCTACCTCTTAGGGTGTCCTGTATATGTGATGAGGAGGCTTTTGGAATGGGATAAGGACGCCTCTTCCTGGTTTTGGTAGGTCCAATATTGATAAAAAGGCCCTTGTTATGCGGAGAGCAGCTTTGTATGAGTAGGTCCCTTTCTTGTGTTGTGGCTCTCATAAGGAATACTGGGACTCCTTGCAAAGTTACGATATCTTCCATTTACCTAAACTCATTTATTTCTGGAATAAGAGGCCCCGTTACAAATAAGGAAGATCTGGTTAGGGATCAAGGTGCGCTCTTCTGGGGTCAAGAGACCTTTCGCTGGGTTGGGAGGACCATTTGCGAATCAAGGTCCACTGTTTTTTTGTTTGTTAGGAGGCCCCGTTTCTGATCAGGAGGCCCCTTTTAGGCTAAGACGACTGATATACTAGAGCTCAGAGCAGCTTTTGTCATTAGAACGCACTTGTTTTGGATCAGGAGCCCCTTCCTTGCATTGGGTATCTTGCTCCCATGGATCATGTGACCTTTTTAGGACCAAGGGGCCAGCTTAGGAGGACATTTTCTAGATCATGAGGCCATTTTCTCGAATTCGGTGGAACATTTTGGGATCAAAAAGGTGTTATCTTTATTTACCCTGATATTTAATGAAAATTGAAGTCTTGTCCTGATCCAGGCCTACGTCAATCAAAAATTTGTCTGTATTAACACCTGCACGTTCATTCAAAATTCAAGCATTACCAGTTTCGCTTGCTATTAAGTTCTAGCTATTGTAAGCAAGAACGTTTAAAAAGGCCTGTTTGGTGAAACTTGTTGACTACAAAGGCACAGCTAGCGTCTGAGAAAAGATCCGGGAAGGCACAACGTTTTGCGGAGTTGGCAGAAGGCCTGGTAGATTTCTGAGGGTACCTGTGGGCAGAGACCTCACCAGAATATTACACTACGTGGGGAGGACTAAGGGTCTGACCGGTGGAGGAAGGGTAGGGGGCTGGCACAGAATATTGCCAGAACATTGTCATGACCGCACCAATGTCTGGGTTTTTCGCCGGCCGCTTCAACTAAACATCAGGAAGGACGGAAGTAACCAGTACTTTTTGATCGTATCAGGTCGTCTGATAGCCTTTAAGGTACACTACAAGGGAGAAGGTCACTCATTGTTTCTCATGGGTCATATCGTGTAAACCACTTAATAAAGCCTGTTGTGACCAGATTTTGCGATGACAGCAAGTGAATGTTGTCGCAACGTGAACTAGTGCTAAAATCTGCGTGGTGTTCCTTAGAAGTCAAACAGAAGAGACATCATCACCATCGTATGAGACAAATGACATGCCCTGACTTTGGAAACGCAGTCTGTTCGACCTTGATTTTCTGGGTAAGTTTATTCCTGAGCGTACACATAACAAGAGCCAACCCATATGAACCTAGGTTATGGCATTGGAGACCAATGTATGCTCTGAAATGCGACTAAGTATGGGTTGCAGGGCGTGCGACCTTCCTTTTGATGAATCCGCTTTACGCATGACAAAAATAAAGTGGTAATGGAACCGGGGTCATGAGCTGCCATTTACAGGACGTGGATGCGCACTGTGGAGAAGACGATACACATAATGCAAAATCCACTTCATGATGATGGCATCGGGGTCATGAGCCGCCATTTACAGGACGTGGATGTGCACCACGAAGAGGACGATGCATATGTTGCAAAACGCACATCCACGTCACTGTATCTCCCCGGGTACGAACCCTGGACGAGTCTGAGAAGCGCAGCCCGGCGGCGTTGGAAATGTTGAGATGCAGGGTGGCCGTCGTGAAGAAAATCGAGTGCGGCATGGGCAGATCGAAACAATGAACGCCATCAGCTGAAGAGAACAGCAACGTCAGGGCGACAGCCAATCAAAATGGCCGATTGGCAACCGAGCCAATGAGATCGTCAGTGTGAGTTAAGGACAGGTAATCAGGGTGGTAATGGTAAAATAAGCACGGTCAGTCAGAGTGGTAGGAGAAAGAGACAATCAGGACACACACACGCACAGGGGAAAGACAGTGAGAAGGGCAGTCCAGTATATTTTTCGTCGGGTTCGCTATACAGAATCGTCGTGGCGAAACAGAACAGCCAACTGATCAGCGCGACGCCCCAGTGTTGTCCTACATCACAAATGGTGGATTATTTAAAGCTCACTGCCAGCTGGCTCCTGTCCAAATGCATGCTGTTGGCGGATGCGTGTCCAGAGGGGACTTTTCCCCAAGGTTTTTTTTCTGAATGGGTTTCGTACGGCGCACCGTAGCCGAAATATTAGTCACTGATGTACCTTGTGAGGTCACCGACCCGTGGCAGGTCAAAGTCGGGCCGCGGTCGTCAGTGAAGATCATGGAGTCATCCTACAGAATCGTGCAATCGGCTGTGACAGAGTGGTGTTACATGAAATCAGACATCTTTGAGCTATTTTAGAGAATTGGATCGTTGATTTGAGGACCACAAAAAATCCGATTGCAATTAGACAAAGCTTGAAGATAAGATTGCCAAAACCGATGCGCTTTTTTACAGGCTAGTTTATCCATCGGGCAGTTTTTTAACGCTCGCTTTGATTCCCGGGGGGAGTCAACAGACGACTGATCTAACCTTGATGAAGATGAGAGGAGGTCATTGATCTAAAATGATCCAACGAACTTTTGTTTTTAGGAACATGCCGCTTATGGTGGACCTTAACGCTTATTCGAATTCCAATACCAAACCAACCTTGAATGTTTTTGGTTACCTTGAGCTACTGAAGGTTACATACGATCACTGGACAGAAATAAGCACCACTGACATTTTGCTTAGAAGATATCCAGGGCCTACTTTCCAATGGCGAATTTACGATGCTACGAATTAATGTCGTATAAAATGACAAAGCGGAAATAAGCCAGTTTCACGAAAGCTCGTAGTTTCTTAGATTCATAGTTCGCAGTTTTGTCTACGTGCGTGGTTACGAAAAAGTGGTGGAGTTAGCCATCATGCCCTCACAATGAAAATCACTCTATCGTTTGCAAGATTTCGATATACTTTGTGTCACAGCTAAATATGTACGGCAAATAATATGTTTCACAGAGTTCTTGCGATCTAATAACTCAAAGACGAAAATATGGTTGAGCTACACCATCCGTCACTAAATAACCACCTGCTATAAACACGTTTTGATGCGATTGAGCTGTGTGAAAAGGACTGCTGAAAAAAAATGACTGTGAAAGGTTGAACGTGAGGGGGAGGTATGAAGGCCTGGCGAGGTTGCATCAGGAGGTCCTATGGCGCTTCAGACAACAATCTGGGGTGAGACCTTTTTGTGACCTTTCGTGAGCTTTTGTGACCTGAGGGTACGGAACTCGGGACTTCAAACGGGGAAAACTTCAGCAATTTGAAACAAGTGAGCTCACATACAGGCATGCTTTACCTGTTAATTCAGTGTATCTAGCTTTCTCCGCTTCCAAAAATCTTAAAGGTGTTCAAATGAACTCTCACTCCCCATCCCCACCCGAGCGCATCGCATCCAGCCGGCCGCCGGGCCGAGTGTTAACACACTTCCGGGTGGCGGCCACCCGGCCACCCGGAGTCGTGTTGTGGCGGCCACCCGGAGTCGTGTTAACACTTGGGGTGGCCGCCACCCTCCGCTCGGGTGGGGAGGTCAATTTGACCTCCACTGAGATTTCAGAAACTAAGAGAGCTAGAGACACCAAATTCAGAGATATGTCGGCATTTACGTGAACCCACTTGGATCAAAGTTTAAGATTCCCGAGTCATGGCCTTCGGGACAAATAAGGTTAAACAAGGTCAAACTACTGGTTGGTCTCCAAAGTCCCCCAAAACCTAGAAATCTGCTCTTAGCAAAACGTTACATGCTCAATTAACACGCGCTCGAGTGGGGGCTCAATTTGACCCGAAGGTCTTTCCAGAATGGATTCCGAACGGTGGCGCAGCCACGCCAAATTTTTCATAGCTGTAAACAATTGAATAGCCAATCGTTTGGTGTAAAACATTTAGATGTACCTTGTAAGGCCGCTGACCAATGGCAGGTCAAAGTCAGACCATGGTTTCAGCGAAAGCAATTTCTAGGGAATCCCTCAATCTGATCGAACAACGGAGTGTTAGACGAAGCCATACATCTCTGAGATGCTTTCTTAGGCAACACCGCAGTTGACTGAGCAAATTAAATTGACCAAAGGTCACTTATGAAGGTCACACCACGGTCAGAACCAGCCTGTTTTGTTACTCGAGGGCTTGCTGTATGGGATGGTTTCTTCCGCTCATTTCGAGTTTATTGATAGCAGGAACCGCATTATACATCTTCCATGAACTTCTTAGAGGTCAGAATACGTCATTGACCTAAAATGACCCAGGTCAACACCTTGTTTTAGGAACATACCGCCCAGCGTTATCTTTGTCGCTTAGTCAAATGTAAAACTCAAAACAATCTCATATGATTTTGGTCACCTTGACCTTCAAAAGGTAAAACAAGGACACTGACCTCGAATGAGAATATGACTTTTTGCTTACAAACGGTTATTTAGGTTCTGAGGCACTTTGGAAACCAACCTGGAACTTGACCTTGTTTGACCTTTTTTGACCCAAAGATCATATCCTAGGAACCTGAAACTTTGACCTAAGTGAGTTCAATAATAAATTTGACCTAAGTTACAGGTCAATACACCCTGCACATTTGGTGTATATAGCTGTCTTAGTTCCCGACATCTCTGGGGGATCAAATTGACCTCCATCCGGGCAAAGGGTATCTAGCCGGCCACCCGGGCGCGTGTTAAGATTAGTGACGTTGTTTGAGCTTTCGAAGGTCATGGTGACCAAAATCATGCAAGACTACTTTCAGTTTTACGCTTGGTTGAGCGACAAAGGTAAAGCTAGGCAGTATGTTCCGAAAACAAAATGTTGGCCTGAGTCATTTAAGGCCAGTGAACTGTTTTGACTTTTGAAAAGCCCATGGAAAATCATATTGCGGTTCATGTTCTTAATAAATTCGAAATGAGTATATAAGTATAAACTACTCCACACAGCGGGTCCCAGAGTAATAAAACAAGGTTATGGCCGAGATCTGACCTTCAAACCCGACTCTGGTTAAAGAAAAATGCTCATTTAATTGTAGCGTTGACCAAGAAAGTATCCCAGAGATGCATGACTTCGTCTTACACTCCGTTGTTGCATCAGATTGAACGATTCCCTAAACAATGACTTCGCTGAATGCATGGCGTGACTTTGACCTGCTGTATGCCAGCGACCTTCAATGGCACATCTAAATTTTTGACACAGAACGACCGGCTATTCCACGGTCTACAGCTATGAAACGATTTGCTGCAGCTACGCCGCGTCGCTCAGAAGCCATTTTGGCAAGACCTTCGCGGGGTGGGGGGGGGGGGGAAATTGGCCTACCTCCACCCGATCGCGTGTTAAAACTCACAGCCTACAGTGTCCGGTATCGGCTCCACCAGCGATAACCAGGTGGTGTCGTCGATCTCGTCTGGGAGGGTGATGGCCACGTTCCGCCCCGGCCCGGGGAGCTTGAAGAGCGTGACGCAGACATGCTCGCTGGTGCCGCCCTGTAGCAGCTTGGGCGCCGTGAAGAGGAAGCCGCTGTGGAAGGGAGTGGCGTCACTATTCAGACGTACCGGACGATTTGGGGGTCTTGCATCACAGTCCGCGTGTCTGAGAAGTTCTGCATCACAGTCCGCGTGTCTGAGAGGTCCTGCATCACAGTCCGCGTATCTGAGAGGTCCTGCATCACAGGTCGCATGTCTGAGAGGTCCTGCATCACAGCCCGGATGTCCGAGAGATCCTGCATCACAGCCCGAATGTCCGAGAGATCCTGCATCACAACCCGGATGTCCGAGAGATCCCGCATCACAGCCCGGATGTCCGAGAGGTCCCGCATAACAGCCACGCCGGTGGAGGCTTACAACTAAGGGAACGACGGACAACATCGACCTAGGTAACACAGCCTCATTATTCTCAGAAAGTTTGACGACATCTGAACCCGAGCTACTTACGCGTGACATTGTCACCAGCCATAATATTCGCCATGGCAACGCAAGACATGGTCATCGACTTGTGTCTCCTACGATATGCTACGCTGTATATAGTGCACTCATCCCATACAGCCAGGTTCATTCGTCAACCATGAATGCCGATCATCTCTGCCAGTCCGACCTGCCGGCATCAGCCCGCAGCGTTGACATCGCTCCCTGTTTAGCTTTAATCTAAATGTGTCCGTCAATATTTACACGTTTAAGACACATCCTACATATCTGCCAACATTCCATCCCACGGGGGCGGTGATTTTCCGCACTGTTCGCTGCGTCGTGGATTGTCGTCATCTGGATCGGAGCACAAACGACCGGATTGAACTTATGACATTGGAAAGACGGCACGGCAGGACATGCTGCAGATGCACTGTTCGCACTGGCGCTGGCAGCAGTCTGAGCAGTATGTTCGATCCGTTCCGAATGCCATACGATCTCATGTACGCCGTTTTCGTCATACCGCTACCCATGAATGGATCACCAGGGGTAAAATGATAAAAGCACCGCCGAAAGATGTCAAAAATTCACAGCATTGTTGGCTTTGGATTACGGGGCGCCAAGATCAAAACACGCTGTCATAAGTTATCCGTAGCTGCTAGTGGTACAGCAGATCGAGGCCACGACGTTGTCAGCGATGACAGAGTGCTCCAAACCTGATTGTAGCCGATGTATCGAGCGGAAGAGGCATGACTGTAGGGGCAAGGGTAGAGGCAGGAATAAAACAGGAGTAGGGGTAGAGGCAGGGACAGGATAGGGACAGACTCAGGAACAAAGAAAGGGGCAGGTGCAGAGGCAGGGTCTGGTAGAGAGGCAGGCTAGGACAGGGCAGAGAAAGCAGGGGCAGATGCTGGGGCAAAGTCAGGGGCAGGAGCATGGCCAGGGACAGGAAAATGGGCAGAATCAAGGCGAGACACAGCGCACCACGCTCAGGGTCAACATCAATCTTGCGGTGGTGTATCGACGTTTTTCAACCAAAAATATGAACCACTCTCAAGCCTTTTCACCGTTCCTACGCGTTGGCAAGGTGTCGGCGGGAGAGTTACGCCCTGAGGAAGAGTTACGCTCTGATCTGGCCCGGCGCTCTGTGTTGTGGTCTTGACTGGAGATGCTTCAACGGCTTGCTTAGTGGACCAGCAGCAGCTCTGGGTAGGAAGGCGGCAAATGAAGCATTGCTAAAAGCCCTGAAAATATAAATATGTTTGCTTACGCTTGTTCTGTGCTATCATTTCCCCAAAGTATAGAAACGTTTCTAACCATTATTTTTAGAGGTGTCTGATCTGTATTCGCTTTCTTCATATCTTTCCCTTAGTATTCATCGGTCCCAGTCTCCCAGAGGAGACCTCCTCGCAGGGGGCCTCCTGCGCTGAGTTTTTCCAAGGAAGAGGAGCACAGGACATGTTTTCCTAATCAAACTGTTACATGTATCATGTCCAAACAAATAAATGTCGACAGCGAAATATTACAGAGGGGGGGGGGCCTTCTTATCATCCATCAAAGAGGTCCCGCCGAACTGAAACAGGGAATCCTGTTCCAGGAAAGGTCTTCCTGATACATATAAGGACTCCTAACCTGAGTCTCACATTTTTGGGGAGTGCCAAAACCACACTTTTGCTCTCTCTGCTCCTCTGCCGCGCCGCCCTTGGTTGCGCCCAATACCCATGCAGCATAACCACCATTCATCATCTTTTTACCACTTCCGGTTATGACCTGCCGCTCGTTGCACAAGTTTCATCTTTCTAGCACGCCAAGACTAAGAAACTAAGCACAGACACTTTTTAATCTGTCTTGTTTTGGGAAAATCGAGATGTTTTTTGGTCAAACACCTAACATTTCGGTAGCATGACCGCCTGAATACACGCACTAAACTGCACCTTGCGCTCTGGGTTTTGACAAAATTATGAGCAGTGAACTTTGTCGGTTTTGGTGACGTTTTTTTCACCAATCGAAAACATCTAAACTCAATGGTAATAATAAATCATTGACGTTAATTGACCTCGAAGTCAGCATTTTTTAACAGTATGCATTACTGAGGTAAAAATACTGTCCAGCATTTGTATGTGGCTGTTTACTAAACTAGCCCTTTTTTAAACCAGTCCCTGCAGTTTGCAGCCATGACTTTTTATATTCAAAACAATCATGCTGCCACTAAGCTTGACGTACGTGAACTCGTTTGGCGCTGCCTAACGGAACAGTGATCAGGTATGAATGACGCCATAGAAACGTGACGCGCATGCGCCTGCGGGCCAACCGCCGAATTTGAACCCGCGCATGCGCGATGGGTGACACATTGAAGCCCCCGCTCCACGGAACTAATGACAATGGTCACTGGTGGGGCAGACTTACATACGCCTGTGGGCCAACGGCCAAACTTAAACCCGCGCATGCGCGATGGGTAGCCCACTAAAGCCCCCCGCCCCACGGGACTAATGACAATGGTCACTGGTGGGGCAGACTTATATACGCCTGTGGGCCAACGGCCGAACTTAAACCCGCACATGCGCCGTGAGTAGCCCAATGAAGCCCCTTCCCCCCCCCCCCCCCCCAACCCCACGGGGCTCTCAACCTATGCGTGGCCGAAATATGTAGCCCACACTGAGCCAACCAAATGTCGGCGGAATTAAGATAGCTCGCGTGTATGACCAATCTTGCGTATTCCCCCCGCCACATTTTGTGATCAGTAACACAAGCATTTGAACACAGGCACTAGTTATGGCGACCATGATGCTGAGAATCGAATTACTTTGGAATAGCACCCTCACAGAAAATGTGAAGGCAAGTACACCAAAGACGCCCTCACGGAAAATCTACAAGAACGCCTCAAGAAATGCCAAAACACGCGTACATCGTAATGAAGTGAAAAAATGCATACACTAACCACCAGCAACATCTTGCGGCAGGTAGAGCAACAAGGCAGTCACACTGCTTGATGCAGTGGCAACTCTTACATCGCCAGTCGGGCAGCGACTCGAGCGTCGTAAAAGTATGTAAGGATGTTATAAAACGATGACGCCATTGAGTGTAATCTTAATAAATAGTGAAATTTTGTCATTTAGATTTGGGTTGTTTGTGGAATGCGCTAGCTTGCGCCTGAAAACAGTTGAACAGTTTCAAGTGAGTTTTTCCATCACATGCTGTACTCGCCTCAATTTCTTAAAATATGCAGCAATCCTCTTAGGTGTCGGTCCTGCTTACCCACTTATTTCACACTTATCTGCCATTCTCTGAGCGGTGACGACAAAACAAAGGCGAACAGCAAATCACTACAGCATTGTTAACTAATTAGCCCGAGACGTCCTTGTGGTCTTGTTAACTATAACTCGTACTTTACTGACATCATGTTTAAGCGGATTTCAATACTTTGATCAGCAACACTGTTCGGCTATACATGGTAAGGTGACCCTGAGAGGTCAACTCAGGGCACCGACCAAAATTAGGACTAGAATCGAAGATCTCAAGTCGAAGCTCGGGTCGATTCAGCCACCGCCCACAGCTGCAGCCAGTTAAAAAGGGTGTAAACAGCTGGAACGCGCGTCTCATTCAGTGCAAACATTCAATGATTTCGTCAATGACCAGTGCTGACCGGTGGAAAGCATCACTAATTGATGCAAATACTGTTCACGTAGCTCTGATAGCATATCTAACGTGAGTGCCCACGCAGGTATAATAAAAAATTGTCGCCGTGGAAAAACGCGCCAAAAAATATAAATTGCATTTGGCTTACCATCGCCTTGGGCGTGACCCTATACACAACAAAATTACTCAAGTAAATGTGATCAAGGTTTGAATGGGCTCTAAAATGACGAGTCGTTTGTGCCTTATCTTTGGAATCCAGCACACCAATGGGGGATCTATAGTGAGTGCGACGGCTAAAAATAAGCATTTTCGTTCCATCGTATGCTAATTGCAAGATCAGAATAAAAGCGTCCTTGATGCTTACGATGAGTAGCTTTCATGCTTTGGGATCATATTAAGTTAAGAAAATTTCGCGGACACGGCATCGTCTCTCTTTAGGGCATAATATTGGAGCATTGTGTTATCACAAATTCACCAATTGCCTGCGTGAAGCAGATCTCACGTTAGTTCAACATACCCAGTTCAACGCAAATGGTTAACGAAGGTGCCATGGAATCTGCCCACATGTCGTGAACAGCTGGTTGCTCCTGCTTGTAATTTGCAAGTGTTTGTTACATCTTTCCCATGACCAACGCTATCGCGTACAGTTTTCCACTAATCTTGCAATATCGAATGAATTACTATTGCCTTCAATAAAACGGATGATATCACTAATGCTACAACCCACCGCATTTGTATTGTCCCCTATCTTTAGCCTTCAACCTGAGATGAGTGAGTCTCCATGCTATGATAGTTCGCCACATGGCGCTCAGCAATTTAGCCTTACCGATCAAGAATTGTGGGAAAAATGGCCGGAAATTCCAGTTGGTGCACAGGACAAGTCAAATTGCTGAACAATGGCTCCACCTATGCCGCAAATGATCATGAACATGGTTGGCATATTATATCAATATACTAAAATGCGTAGCTTCATTTTCCTGTGGTGACATTCGATCAAGGTATTAATTCGGGAACAAAGTCAGGTTCAAACCATCATGGCTCATCAACATGAATCATGCATCAGCGCTGTTGCACAGACAACCTTGAAAAACGCAATTGATGCGGAATGGTATACGAGCATTTGGAGGTAGAGTCGCGTGTTGCTACGGCTTCAGTAGCGTCACAGGTTGGGCAGAGTCATGGGTTTAGTACGGATTGATAAAGTCACAGGTTGCGTGGAGTCACAGTTGAGTAGAGTCGCATGTTGGGCAGAGTCATGGGTCACGTAGGGATGGGTGGTCACAGGTCACGTGGAATCACAAGCTGGGTAAATGATGGGCAAAGTCACAGCTTGAAGAGAATTATGGGTTGGGCATGGGTGGGTGGAGTAATGGACTGTGTACAGCTACGGCTTTAGTATGAATTGCAAAGAGGAACTGGTTAAATAGAACTCTGCGTTCGGTATGGGCTGGATGCAGTCACAAGTCGGGTATAGTCATTGGATGCGTGTAGGCTCGGTACAGCCACGGGCTGTGTGAAGTGACGGGCTAGGCACAGTTGGGTAGAATGGCGGTTTGGGCAAACCCACGGGCACCCGTATGGTTTGAGTAAGATCATGGATTGGGAAGATATTTTGTGACATTACGGACATGGCTGTTTCGAAGAATGTCCAAGGTACTGGCTGTGTTGATTTGAGGGTGCGCGAGTGAGGTTTTCAGGCAGCCCCTTGCGACATGATGGGCGTCGGCATTTTGAAATATACCAATTATTCCTGTCTGATTTTGTTTGAATCATTATGCCCGCATTTACGTGACACTGTGAGTGGTCCAAGAAAAAAAACTAGCCATCATAAGTATGAGGGTGGATATATCATCTTTATATATCATCTTTCATTCTTATATCCGGGCACCATGGAACCATGGCAAACGGGCGGAGAACGGGCGGTGGTGTCAGGGAAGGAAAATCCCTCGGATTTTCCAAAAGTCGATCTTTGACAAAATGGACACTTTCGTGAGTTAATTTGTGACAAAATGTTATACCCATTTGTTACATTTTTCATTAACGAATCAATACCAGGATGCCCGCGGTTTGTGCGACTTTGACCTCTTGCATTGAGTTAGTTTTTCCAAGTGTGACGACAGTAAGCACCTTGTGCATTAATACGATACAAATTGTGTTGTGCTTCTTGGTAAACAAATAAATGCTATGATACTGGGCTTTTGTAGACTTACCCTCTGACGTTGACATTTAGTGTTTTTAAGTTTGACAAAATTGGACATCACAAGCATCTCCAAGATGCCCATTTTGTTGTGCTTCTGAAGTATCCAATACATATTCCAAGTTACTGCGTTTTGTCGGGCCTAACTTTAGCATACAAAGTAGTTTTTCCAAGTGTGACATAGGCAGACACCATGTGCATAATATGACTGCCCCATTTGTGATATTTTTTTGGTGAACGAATACAAAATACAAGGGTACTACTTTTTGTGTGACCTTGAACCTTGGTGGTGTGACGAACGTGGGTGTTACAAGGATTACTGTGATACCCGTTACATACATTTGGCAAACGAATACATGCGAGGATATTGCGTTTTCGTGACCTTGAATTTTGACCTTCAGAGTTTTTGTTTTGTAAGTGTGACGAAAGCAGACATAAGATTGTGAAAACGACACGACCTTTTCTGTATATCTTTGACAAACGAATAAATCCAGGTTTGGTATTTTGTTTGACCGTGATATTTGGCATCGTGAAAGGCAGCTTTTGTATATGTGACTATGACACTCGCTCTCTTGTGTGTCTGGTAAAGGTGTGAATGCAAAGTTACCGTTTTTGAATAACCTCAAAACTTGAACGTAATGTTATTCTTGGTGTGACAAGGGTGAACACAACGTGAATCACTAAGAAACCTATTTTGTTGTATTTATTTGGTTAACAAGAATGAATGTCTGGATACAGCATTTGTGTGGCTCTGACCTTTGACATTAAAGCCAATTTTGCGGATGTTCCGAAAGAGGACATCACGAGTATCAATATGGCACCTTTTCTGTTGCAATTTCGAAACGAGCGAAACAATGTCAGGGTATTCCATTTTATGCCACCTTGACCTTGGAGCTTAAGAGTAGATTATGTAGGTTCGGCGAAAGTGCACAGAACGAGGATCAATGCAACATCCATTTTGTTGATTTGTTACAAACGCGAAGGAGTGGCAGGGTACCCAATTTTGACTTTTCATTTACCTGCACGGGTTAAACCAACTGTCTCAGAGAAAAGAGAATTGCAGATTCGCGAATTACTAGATTGGTTGGCCCCGAAGACAAGGCGGTTGGAAATTAAGATTTGACACTGAATTCGAGTACGAAATCAGCGCAAACCCGACAGACATGTAATATTTGCAGTCACCGTGCGGTAAATGGGTGGCAGCTGCAGTCTAATGCATATTCAGCACTACCAGTCTCTGCGACATCGACTCACCCTTCAGGCGCCTCTATTGCGCTCACCGCGAACACACACGTCAACGGCAACAGCACCCACACCTTCATCGCGGTCCTTCCGAAGCCGCCCGGCCAACGACTAAACGTAGACGGGACTGTCCAAACCCGGTTGGTCTTGCCACGGCGACCGCAGCGGAGGTGAGGGCGCCACTGTCGCCCGTCCGCAGTTCCAGGGCCGCGTCCGGGCTACGTGGAATGGATACCATCCAGAGGCGGGGAGCGCCGCATTTGCGATGGAGCCCCTGTTTTCACGGACACTTGTGCATCTCTTTCAACTTGTTTATGTTTCAGACTGAAATTATTTCGAAAAAGAGGCGACAGAACCATTAAGTTGAGATACAGAAAATATCGGCTGTGGAAAATTTTGTCGAGTTTTTTGTCCTGGTGCGTCCAGTATCTAGCTCGTGCTTAAAAATTTTGGAATTCCAAAAAGTTGGCTTGAGTTTCAAGAACGCATGTTTATGCACACTGGAAATGCTCTAAATTTTCATTTTTATTCTCATTCTCATACGTTAATCATTTGTGTAGCGGTGTTCAGATACCTGGTGATACACTAACTAATCCAATTACATCTGTTGAACAACTCTGGCCACGTCCCTTTGACCAGTGTCTGGACGACAGAACGGCTTTGGAAATACCGCTGGCCGCTACCACCTGCCTGCCATGACCTCGGAACGCGGATTTTCCAGCACGGAGAGTTGATGATTACCGACCAGGTCCAGAACGGTAATCCCCAACATTCCCCAATCTCTCCTCCCCATCAACCACAAAAGCATGACGGTTCCGGGCAGCGCGGACCAGAGACGTGGAAGGGCTTTGCGGTTCAGTCCACAGCAGGAAAGCTCTGCGGTTCCCACCGTATCGTCAACTCCCCTTACTTGGTTGCGCAATGGACGCTTCAGCGCACTGAAAATCCTCGGAGCTGCTGTCACGTCATGAAAGCATCCCCCGTCATTGGTTCACTGAAATGAGCCGGGTGCTTGAAGCTGATCGTGATTTGTGATTTAAGACAGGTGTCTTGGGAAGATTATATGTATATATATATATATATATATATATATATATGTTTATATATGCTATATATATATGTTTATATATATGTTATATATATATATGTTTTCATTTTCGCGGGTTTGAAGAGCGAAAAATGATGTAGGGGAGCTCCGAGGTAAAGCACATGTTCCGCGAAAGAGTCAGAAGGTCTGTATGAAATGATATCAGATGAAATGTGACGGCGTCATGATATTTCCTTACGATCTTTGCTCAAGGATAGCTGCCAATATTTGCTCACACATCCACTAAGCATCCACCTTTCTTTGTCAGCAGTACCGGAAGTCAGTTTGCAGTGCATACACTTCGGATTCCTGACTGGCACACTCGATCATAGATCATATGATTATCATAGATCATTGATCATCGATCACTGGTACACACAGACTTGGTGAAGACCCGCCCGGCGCATCACCATGCGCTGAGGCCCGGCCGACACCGCTCCATCCACATATCACAACGATTGTTCCATCATTGGGCAGGAGCCGGCACACATATGTCCGGCCGGGACACACGCATGTCCAACCGGGACACACGCATGTCCATCCGGGACACACGCATGTCCGGCCGGGGCACACGGATGTCCGCCCGGGACACAGAGATGTCCGCCCGGGACACACAGATGTCCGCCCGGGACACACGGATGTCCGGCCGGGACACACGGATGTCCGGCCGCGACACACGGATGTCCGCCCGGCGTCAGCCACCCTCCGCGGGGCGAACGACCGTCGCCATTAACATGGGCTTCACCCACACTCTAAGAGCCAGCTCAGCGCCGGCAGGCCCCACGTAGCGTTCGACTCACCACTGCCGAGCAAACTAGCGGCCGCAACACCCCAGAATCAAACAAAATACAAACCGAAGGAGGGGTTATACGCCAGCCCAGACCGACAAACGCGGGCAGAAAGTCAGGCACGGAAGCACACGGCGAAGACAACGTGGCACACTAAAACTCGGTTGTAACAGGCAAAGAATATTACAGCTTACAACTGTCAACGCAAACGCGGCCTCCATGACCCCTTGCGGTCCCACCATATTGTCAAGCAACACTAATCTCCACACCAAGGAAGAGACAGGATCCGCACCACCTAACCCAGCCAACCGAGCGATGGCCGGCGAGCCCCGCGAGCATTGCACCAATCAAGGCCTCTGGTTTTTCCACCGATCACGGACATTCGTCACGAACACAACCGCGGGCCCGTCGTCTATGACGTGCGACACACCGGTGCGGCCGAGAGCGATGTCTTACAGATCACGCCTGTGAAAGCCGTACGTGGACAGGCTGTCCCACACCCGAGGCCCGCACAGCGCCTTCCTGCGCCAGCTCTCTTTGCTTCCTGTACTCAATCCGCTGTTTCTTCGTCAGCGGCGCGTACGTGTGGCCGTGATTGTGCAGCTGCTCCAGTGCCTCTTGCGAGTACCCGTTGACGGGGCGTTCCATAATAAATCGAGCAGTGACTTAACCCTGATTCCTCGGATGTTGCCTCAAATGTGTCACAGAGGTTGTCGCCAGCGCTGAAGTCGTCTGTGACATTTTAAATCTCAGTTGCACCCCTTCGGAGTTAGATAAAGCCTTCGGCAATTTAGAGTTGCTTGGGTGCAAGCCTACCTTAGTCGTGATTTTTCCACTTGCTCAAAATGTAACTTGGCATACTTATACGCTATAATGGTAAAAAGTTGTCCAAAATATTCGCATGACATTTCTGAAAGCTTCAACGTGCAAAACAAAATTCAGGGCAATATGAGCTTTTGAAAGGCAGAAAAAGCAATTTTTACGACATCGTTTTTTTTTTCTTATTTGCATTTCAAAGGGCGTAGCTTGGTCCTTAGATTTTTATGAATACAACAAATCATACATGAATGAATCATGCGTAACGCACAAAGACTGGGCGCGCGGCGCACCGGCGCGGCCGACTGCCTCGCCCCCTCCCCCTCCCCCTCCCCCTCCCCGCCCGATGTGGACTGTCAGGACCGGGGAAATTGGAGCAAGAGGGCATGGGGAGGTAAGGGTACTGCAAGGGTAGTGTCGCATCTTGTTTATGTGGAGCGACTCGGAGGTCAGACAAAGGCCCTTTGATTGGCCCTTGGCCTGTTGTACAGCCTGTTGTACAGCAGGCCAAGTTTGATTTGGCCCCTGGTCTAGTGCCTGTCATACAGCTGGAGCCCATGTTCGTATTGGTAGTGTGTTTTGCGACAGTGAAACGCCCATACAACCCTAGTTGTACCGATCCATATGAAAAGCTCAAAACGAGAACACGGTAAAGCTTAACGATCGCATCAAAATAGCAAGTCAATCTTATCCAGGAACCGTGACAACTGCCTTAACACTTCTGTGTTGCAACTGTCGCGTGAAATTTAATAAAGACCTTGGAGACCTTCCTGGTGACAATAACGCCAAACTTCTCGCGGAACCGGGATGTGAGTTATCCAACTCCCAATCCCACCCACAGAGTTGAACGAGTTCCGATTACCACGACTCGGACATGTCCAGAGAAAATGTTCCAGTCGTTTTGGAGGATCTCGAACAAATGTCAGTGCATCGCAGTGAGTACCGTGTTTATAACACCGTGCAACTCATCACTTCGTAATTCAGCTGTATTTTGGGAATGCTTTCAATCGGGTGTGTAGCAATCCTCTTCTGCAACATCCGTGAGAAGTGAAACAGCGCCCATACGTCCACGCTTAACGAGGACGAGCACTTATGTGGAGTTCCTAGCGAAAGTATTGCATAAAAAGTATAAGCACGAGCTGATTTTCACGTTTGTCCCTCCCTCTCCAAAGTGCCATTTTCGCAACGCACTCGCTTCGTTGTGTTGTAGAGGGCTTAACTGCGTCGTAGAGGCAGACCAAGAGAGCCAAGAAGTTGGAGAACGCATCTAGGTCACTAAAACGTGAACTTGACCAGTCTTTCTGCGCGGGATATTCCGACGTCTGATGCCACCGTTGACAAAAGCTGGAAAAGACAAAGGCTGGAAAAGGAGGGAAATGAGCATTTGAATTGGAGAGATATTTTGCTAGCGCGCGTTTAGATATGGCATTGACATAGCAAAGACTGTTAAGTCGACAAACGTACAGATATGAGGTGGAGTACTTAGCACAAATAATCGCAGTGTCTCAGAACGTGAAAAAGTTTAGATTAGCTCCATGCATGTTTTATACGCCATCTTTTAAAGTTTTAAGCAGCATTTCATCGGGTGTTTTAGACACCAGCGCGTGATGAATGAACTGAAAGAACAATTCCAAAGATCTAATATTCCTCAGCGCCGCTTACGGATGCTTACGTTGCCACCACAGATGGAGAACTACCGAGTTTTTTTCGGAATGACGCAGTACATGAAACGTCGTAACCTTAAACTTGAAGAAGAGCGTTAAATTGCCCAAACAGCAGACGCGCTCCATAAAACCAAGCATCACTATTATCAAGCTCAAAGAAGATCACGGAATGTTACCAGAGATGTTTTGCTACTCGAAGGGGATATAGATATCTATGGACTTCAAATTTTGTCAAAAGTGAGTTCATGTACAGGCCAATTCACTCTGTGGATTGGATGTCTAAGGCTATCTTATTTTTGAGATCTTGGGGATCCAATTGTCCTCATCCCCAGCATGGCGAAGGGTATTCCACCGACCACCCCGGGCACGCGTTAAACGACTTAGTATGTCCTGGTACGGTAGCAGCTGTGCCGTCATAGTAGACGCTTCCTGAGGTTCTCAGCACCACACTGTTACATTATTAGATGTGAAGTGCACACTTGTGAGCCCTCCATAGAGATCCACAGATATGGTGTTTACACAAGCCAGCAAACATGATGATAGGAATACCATTCGTTATGTTTGTAAGCAAGACATAACTGTTAAGTTTGATATTTTTATCCCGCGATGTCCGTCATGCGGCTGACATGCGTTTACATCCAGTGTTCGTTTTTATTGTAATTTCACCCTTCTAAAACGTTGGAAGACAAATTAAGCGGAAAGGCACACCAATATCAAGCTAAAATGTGCACATATAAGACAGGATACCAAAAAGAGCGAGCGATACAGGCAGCCAAATGTATTACCTCGCATACCTAAATTTTCGATGCCACAAGCCTTCATACGCAGCTGCAAAGTTCGGTCAAAAGTCATCCAATATTCGGGGTCATTGCCCGCGTCCCGGGAACGGCAAGGCGACATTACAGGGAGTCGGCACGCCTGAGGACATATTCCATAACACACCTTGCGGTCATTTATTAAAAGCGATCTTGCGCATGCTGATCTAGGGTGCTGGTAGTTATATTTTCTTTTCGCCAGGATTTTGCCAAGATATTCTGGCTTAAGCTGCATGTGTGCGGTCGAATCGCAGGACGTCTACGTCTCATCGACCTGACATGTCGTGTCACGTGTCTTCCTGTCATGATCCGTAAGAGGCACACACCGGTCTTCAACATAAGTATCAAGCGGCGGGAGAAGACACGGGCGAGAGCTCATACTCCTGAAACAGAGACGTGACGTCATAAGCATGACGTGACGTCACACAACTGTAAACACATCACCCACTCACTCACCAAAACAGTCATGCACAGGCTGCAGTTGCAAGTATCCGTGTACAAGGGTTGAGTTTCACAGATGTCGAGTAACACTATTCACAAGTTGCAGGGGCTTCACAGTCGCTGGCGGTCCATCAAAGGGCGCGTGACGTCGCGTGTTTCGTCCCTTTTTAAGTACATTTTCGAACACCAAACAAGGAAGGGTTGTCTGTTTTCGATGTTTTAAACGGCTTTCGGGGTGACGCCAGGTCTAAATGGCAGAGGATCAAGACACATCGGACACTGGACTAAGTGACCGAAAGCTCCGCTGGCTGTCGGTGCTACATGTCATCGGCACATCGCGTTCCTACAACCTGCACATGCGACACACGCTGTCTACCACACACAGGACCAGCTGCGGCAATGCTACCACCACTGCCACAGCCGTGCTACTACTTCTTCTGTTCAGTGATGCAATTCCTTCAAGATAATTTCATGACGCTTTTTATATCCAGTTTTCGCTAAGCTCCGCAGCACCGCCTCTGCTGACGAAATGGAAGCTATGGAAAACTTTCTATGGCTGAAATCAAACCCACAGCGGCCGATTTACGGCTCGGCCGGAGCACACCCCTCACCAGAATATTGCGATCCTCAGGCCTGAAGAGGTCGTAGACTCGCACCACCGACGGCTTCAGGCCATCCACCTCGTTCTCTCGGATAATGCGGAACTTGAGGCACACCTTCTCCTCGGTGACCTTGGACAGCGTGAAGGTCACCTTGCCCTTGCTGAAGTCGTATTTGCGTACCGCTGTGGACGGAGAAAGTGGGGAGAGGTATGAAGAGAGGCATCAAAACATTCGCGAGATGGCTTAGGACCAAATAGAACATAACATGGGGGTTACGCAGGAATACGCAGAAATACGTAAACGCGGAAAGGTGCCGTATCTCCCGCGCATACCCATGGCACTTCTGCTTTTTCCAGGCCTTCGGTTTTGAGGCAAAGGGGTTTCGCATTGGTCAGGTTTTACCGTTGGTGCTATCGCAGACGAAAGCATCATAGCTGCAGCACTAAACACATAGTCGAAAGTGGCAAAAAAGTTGTAAAATACGTGGCAAAAAATGTAAAATACGTGGAAAAAGCGGCGTCTCGCCATGATCCATATGACGCATCTGTGTACACCATTTGTGTACACCATTTGGGTACGCCATGCGCCTCCAGTTGATCAGCAGGAAAGCTGAACAGTATTTTGGCTTTAATGTTGGTGCTATCGTACACGAAAGTACAAAAGAGGTGCTAATGATGGCGAAGTGATAGTTGAAGCACCCCTCACTATTATTCCAGCCCCTACTACCACTCCCAACCCTTTCAGCTATCCTGAAGGATGACCTGCTCACTCCCCGCAGTGTCGGAGGCCGCTCACTTTCTGCTTACATTCTATCTAACACCCGCTACTTTCCCGCTATCTTGAAACTGTGCCCTTAACCACTCTGCTGCATCGTAAACTGCACCCGCATCTCCCCTCGCTGTATGGAAGTCTGTCCCTCAGCTGCATTGCCCCCCCCCCCCCCCACTCCCACCCCAATAGCTTGCTAGCTCCTCTGTTCACAGCCTGTGTCGCAGACCCGTAGCTCTCGTCGTTTTGACAAAAGCAAGACTTGCTGTTTCGCAGACTGCTCCCTCCTTACCGCTGCTGTTTCGCAGACTGCTCCCCACTTACCGCCGCTGTTTCGGAGACTGCTCCCCACTTACCGCCGCTGTTTCGGAGGCTGCTCCCCACTTACCGCTGCTGTTTCGCAGACTGCTCCCCACTTACCGCCGCTGTTTCGGAGGCTGCCCCCCCCCCCCCCCCACTTACCGCCGCTTTTTCGGAGGCTTCTCAGTGTGCTGCTGACGGCGATATAGCCCGAGGGCATTTCCACCTCCAGCACGACGCGCTCCGATTCGCCAGAGTCCCCGATGTAGGCGGAGCATACCTCCAGCTCATACGAACTGCCTGGAGAGCGGCTCGGGCGAGCCTCCGAGGTCATCGCCAGCGAGAAGGCTGGCTTCGGCACCTGGGCACGGTGGCTTTGGGATTAGTATCACCTCACCAAAGTGAGGTGAAGCAATCCGGGTCACCTGTTCATGAATGAGGACTTGCTCGTAATTAGTAAAGTACATGGTCGTGCGACTATACGCTTTTCAACGCAGCATAGAACATCAGCAACAATTGTATAAGAATTTGAGCACCTGAGCATGGTCGCATGTGGTTTTTCAACGCAGATCAGTGCTGCACACCGTACATCTACAGGCTGAGAAACGAGCCGCAACAAACACCAGATCAAGATGTCTGGGATAGAAAATGTAATGTACCGCGAACATATCGTGCCAGCAAATGTGCTCTAAGGTCGGAAACTGCACAAACGCCGTTTAAAGCAGAATGCCAGCACAGTTTCTTAACCTTAGTGTTGGAGCCAATTCCCATTTTCTTTTAAGCTATCGCGAGAACAGAAGCATCCCTTCAGACGTGCAAAGCCATTATAATCATCGGCAGGTCGTGATTCGTAACCATACAGCATACTCGAGCGCGGCTGGAGTAGCGGAAGCTAGTGCGGTAGATGACGCAGCCGGCCGGGCTGACGGTGAAGGTGACCTCAGCTGGCAGCTGCGGACAAGATGGCGGCGTCAGATAGAGTGTGGGAGGGGGGGGGGGGGCAGACGGCGTGGGTGTGGCCAGATGAACACAAAGAAGAATACTGCAGGGGCCCGCTCCCCCACGGCGAATGTTGGACAGCTTCATCTCTGGCGTACTCATTGAATTGACCACACTTTTAAACAAAATCGATGAAGGCTACTGTTAGCAATAGTGTTATGCACATACATGAGATTATTCATGGTACATCGTCCGCATGAGTCAAAATCTCGACACATTCACCCAGAGTTTGAAGACGAATAACCGAACTAAAATATATCGCATAAGTTGAAGTCCATTTTTCATATTTGTCGCTTATGAATAAAAACTAAAGTTATGCAGCAAACACCCGGCTTAACGCCGACTGAAATCGGCTAGCAGCACACGCTTACCGCAGCCACGTACCTCAAAATCTGCCACCTTTTCTTGTTGCAGTAGCAGACGGTTGGACGAGTCCACCACGAGTGTGGAGGGGGGTCCCCCAGCGCTGACTGTAACGCTAGTGGACAACTCCGAAGAAAAAGTGCGTTTGGCAAACTCTGTCAGCGCCTGCAGCGCCACAATCGTGTCCTATAAACCAGAAAAGACACGTCGTCAAAACCATAACGTTACTGCGGTTTCTTGCACTTGGTTGAAGCGTTCGAAATCATCTGCGTTGTAACGACAGCAACTGGTCGTGTTCTTAAATTCAGCACTTTCAAAGTATTCCTCAGTCGATGTTGGAGAGGGAGGGATAAGGCTAGACGTTACCACCCTGCCAATCTACTGTTGTGTTCTTTGGTGACACATCCTTATTACAGCACTGCTCAGCTGGTCAGGGGTCCCCAACCTCTGCCTTCTTACGGTCATAACCTTACATCAATGAACCACTGGCAATATTTCCGCCAAACATATTAATCTCTTAGACCACCTTCACAAGTACTCACAACCGTAGGAAGCCACGGTCTACCTGTGTGGAGATGAAGCCGCCCAGACTGTTGCGCTGCTTGTTGATCCACTTGACGGCCCGCGCCGCCTGCTCCAAGTTCTCCTGACCCGAGAGGTGGACCAGGGAGAGCACCATGTATGCCGTCATCTCAATGTCCACGGCCCGACTGCCGCCGTCTGTGGACCAGGGAGAGCACCATACGTACCATCACCGCGATGTATTTTGCCAGATGGAGTTACAGCCAGTCATGGGTAATTCCCAACAAACTCGAAAATAATGGCACTCACAAAATGAGTCGGCCGCTCTTCACTCCATCTCCTGAATGAGGTTTCAACTTCTTTCTCGAACGCTCGAATGACATTACTTACAGTTGAAACTGCCACCACTCACCATCACAAAAATGAGACGTTATTCTAGGATAAAATTGAGGGCCTAGACGCGGTCACTAGTCAGGGACGCCTACCAGATGATGTCACTAGTCAGGGACGCCTACCGGATGTCGACATTGATCAGGGACGCCCTCGAGATGGCGGCACTAGTCAGGGACGTCCACCAGATGACGTCACTCACACATGGGTCAGTTGCCGCCCGCAGAGAATGGCGCTGCTATCATCCGGAAATATAATTGGCCTTTCATCTGACGTCAGATACCGCACTCCTCCAACGTGGTATTACACACAAACTGAGTTGCCGCTAACCTCTCGGAGAATGACGTCATTGACAGACGAAAATGAAACTGCAATTCCGTATGACGTCACTGGTTCAATCTTTTCAAGATGACCAGCTTCACTCACACAATTGTTATTGCTCTCAATATATCGCACCATCTCGATGAGAGACACATCCTATCTAATTTAAAGTGTCATCTCAGTAAGACAGATGCAGTTGCAGTGACCTTTCTGACAGAAGACGTCACTCACAGATGGAGTGGCGATCGCCCTCCCAGAAGAGGGCGTCCGGTCCCTCGGTCTTGGCCTTCTGCATCAGAGCGGAGACCAACTGTTGGCCGCGCTGTTCCCGGCCCAGTACCACGTGCGTATAGGCTAACAGCACCTGCGTGGTAGGGGACAGCTGCAGCTCCTCGTATCGAAGAGGGCGGCGTTTGGAGCGCGAGCAGCGGCCTGTTTGGAGGTCTGGACCTCAGGTAATGTGGATGAACGCCTAACCTAACCTTGGGCCATTTTAACATTTACACTGCTGCCGTACATGACAAGGAACAAAGTCAGGAGGAAATAAGCAAAGTCCCTCCAGCACTTCAAGAAACAAAGGCGCTTCTTGCCATCATCCAAAAACGATGTTTTCTTTGCAATGCCTTGCAACAAGCATATGGGTTTGCACCAAAGGTCGCGTGTCAACAGCGTGGGTTTCGTAGGCAAGCTAAAAAAGGAAAGCGGTACTCAAGCAACAATTCTGATGAAGCCCTAAGATCCAAGGGCCATAATAGGCCAACTAATAGGCCATACCTCGGAATACAATGTTTTGTTGGTCTGACTGATCCCGTGCTCCAGGCAGGTGAAGCCGCTTTCTAGACTCCTGTTGTTGTATGCCCCGAGGGCGAGCATGACGAACGCCGTCAGGGCGGCCGGACCGCCCCGCTCCGTGCCGCCCTGGCGAGCGAACACACCAGCGTCATGCTTAGGTAACCTCAGGGTCAGATCAGGCACAAATGTTGCGAAGATCTGTGATGTTTCGTACTCATATATTGACCATTTCAGAACAGCAATTTGTGGTGAGGATCCCGGCTTCCAGTTTCAAATAACACTGTCAGCATGGGCGGAGGCTGCAACGCTGGAAATTGCTGGATCTCCTGCAGCGCCCCATGGACCTGAGGCTGTTATCAAGTACGCCTGATGACGCATACCATCCTCCCACTCCTCGACATCAGCTTGAGAGCCCTGGGTTCCCGTACCCGTACCGCCAGCGTGGGGCTGGGGGAGTCCGTGGTGTCGGCAATGCGACAACCATGACGCTGCATCACTCGCCTTCAGCTCCTTGTGGATGACGCTGCCGAGCAGAGGGAAGCAGCCGTCATCCTGCTGCTGATCTACCAGCCAGTCCTCGCTGTCCTTGATTGACTCCTTGTCTGGCATGTAAGCTATGGTCAGCTAGTGAGGAGAACCATCCACGGTACCAGCCGTCTCAAACTGGGATTGGTTGACTGCTCATCTTGGCGGGTTATGGTCAGCTAGTGGGGCACAGTAGACATTACGGTGTTGTTGCCGTACGGCCAGCCTGTGACTGGCCACGATTCATTAGTAGTTGTCTTGACAAGAACGTTGTAGTTCGTGGTGAATGGAACGCCCGTTACTGTGCCGCTGCTGTAGCCACCATCTCTGTGTGGTCTTGGTCTGCTCCTAGTCTAAACAAAATAGATGAGACGGCGAAGATATGATCAACTATTGCACGGAAGCAGCTTTCACTCTGCTGCTGCTGCTACGCCAGTTAGCTCTTGCTTGTAATGGCTGGCTTCTCGTATAGACTTGGCCGCAGATAGGGCGCAGCTATGGTACATGCTATGAAACTATGCTGCATAATCCTTCTGACCTGTCTGCTCCCTCTTAACTGGACGACTGTACCTCCCCAGAGTCGAACCCGATCATTCACCAAGTTCATTCATCACCACGCCATGCCAAGGTCGTTCAACGCGCGCCAAGCACTTCTGATCGTGGTGCAGCACTGCGCTGACTAGCGCTTTGGTATTACACTGGCCATGATGATGGTGGCAACATGACAACAATGATGACGTTCTTTTTCCAAAAAGACACATAGAACCACACGGCCCTGAGCCAAGGGCACATCTTAGGGGCACCAGAAGTGTGCTACGATTCATTTTCACAAGTCAAACACGCATTGTACCGCGACGGGTTGCACCCACCGATACTGATGTACTTGGACGCGTCCTTGAAGGACTTGACGACAAAGGCGGTGAGCCACAGCGAGCCCTCCCGGTCTTCCCGGCCGAACGAAGAGTAGGAGCCGTCCCGGCGTCTGTACCGCAGCTGAGTCTGGTACCCTGGGGTACATCACGGGGGGTCACAGGTGGTATGGGTACCGTGGCTAAGTCAGGTACTTTGAGGTATAGCACAAGGTCACAAGGGTCACAGCACGCAACTGGACCTGGCACCCTGGGTGTAAACAAGAACACTCATAGGCAAGTTCACAGGAAGGTTCACGAAGAGCGTTCATAGGCCAGTTCACAGGAAGGTTCACGTGACAACTGCTGCCAAGGCTTCCTCCTTACCACCTTATCTCACCTTATCAATTCCAGCAATATGCTTGCCCAAAATTCAACAAACATGTTTCTATCTACCCAAAGCCCGCCGAAGTCTGTGCGTTTTCATCTCGGTTATGCCGGGCACGCTCACAAGACTCCAAAGACTGAAAAGCCTCAAGCACGAATAAAATACAATATATACTGCAGATTTTGCAATTCTTTCGGTAAGAAACCCCACTCAAGGTGAGTTTTGATATAAAAATTGCATGGTTGAGCATAAAAAGCTCGAAGCGTTAAAAAATACAATCCTGCACGTGGACGTTTCTGGGAACACTTCATGCCAAAGTTAGTTTTGACACCAAAGCATTCGAACAGGCAAATCCTTCTTTACTTCCTTTTTCACCTATGTTTAGCTTCTACCTGCCCAAAACACTTAGATGACATTTTCCACGAGATGGAATGTCAGGCAGCCCATCAAATTTGTGATGCGTCCGAAAATGAAGGCCAAATGGATTGCTGGTGTCCTTCCCGAATGCCGCTCAGCTCTGGTCAAAATACTTTCCATATACCACACAAATGCACTCTCCTATTTAGCCAGTCAAACAAAGAAGGTGTGCGACTTGATGCACTGCACTGTTAGTGGAGCAAGTGCTGTGAAATCCAGACGCACACGGAACGCACCTCTCTCAGTGGAGGACATTGGTTTGCGCAGGTCGGTGCCAGTATCAGTATATTGGAAACCATCCACAAGCTGGCTATTGCGGTTTCAGACCATAGTCATGTTTTGAATTCTGAGAAGAGCTGGGATGATGTATAGACGGGATACGCAAAAAGAAACGAGGATGCCATTGCATTTTTCTTTTTTTTGCATTTTCCACGACGCTCGAGACGTAGGTACTCGGTGACAGAGAACAGTCAATTTATGATGCCGATAATTGTTATGCTTCTTCAGGTATGCACGGCCGAAGCGTTTACTTTAAAGTGGAAGTCAGCTGACTTCTTACATTTTGCTTTGATCCAACGAGCTTAAAATAGCTTTGTTTCGTTCAATTGGAGAGAACTGGCACTGTACCAAAACTGAAGGCCCCGCATGGTAAGTTCCAGTCTGGTTTTGAGGTCGGCGAGACCTGGTCTGCAAGGGCGCGCATTCCTCGTGCATGGTGTTGTTAGCGTGGGACATGAGGCGGCCATGAGACAAGTATCCATATAGGTCGTTGGTAAACTAAATGAGCAAAGTAGGACCGGCTGATTGGGCCCTGGAGCACACCGCATGACATGACGTGGGGAGAGTGAGCCATCTTCCACGCACCATCTGCTCTCGGCCATTCAATTAACCCCCAAACCATCCCACATCGGTAACGACATGCCAAGACAACTTGATGAAGAAGACACCGTGGTCGATACCGTCGAACGCTTTTGACAGCTCGATCGTCGTTACCGACGATACAAACCCGTCGTCGGTGTTGGCGACCAGGCGCTCAACTGTGGCGAGCACGGCATCCCCGGTCAAGTGGCGCGGCCTATAGGCGTACTGGGGTGGACGCAGCAGCCCTGTCGTGTTGAAATATTCCGTTAGCTGGGTGCAAGCTACCTTTTCCTTAGATCTTAGAGAGCATGTTGCGCAGAGACACAAGTCTATTGTTGGAGGGCACAACTAGATCACCTGACATCCGAACTGGTCCAACACACGCCATCCTCCAGGCGTCTGGGAGCATGTTGTTGGAAACGACTGATGAACATTCCCGCACAGCCTGGAGTGGGACGTCATCCATGTCCACCGTCTGCGATGTGCTCGTACGCTGAACACACCGTGACAGCTCTGGTAGCGTCGCAGATCGGAGCGAGAAGCCAGCGGCGCAGACAGTGGGCGGTCTGGGGTTCTTGGAGCCGCCGTTCACTGAACCCCGCAGGTTGGCCGCGATGCGGGCCCCACGGCGGCGAAGTGGCCACTGAGTTTGCCGGCCGTCACCTCGGCCCCCTGATGCTCACCGCAGACGCGGCCTCAGTTGGTGTCGAAGCTGCCATGGCGGACCTCTTGAAGGTAAGCCGACAACCGCCGTGACCACGACGCCATCTCGCCGCGAATAAATTCACTCCTTGCTACAATCAGGCGGCTCTTAAGCTGATTGCGTAGTCGCGTTAAGTCAGACTTAGTCTGTGGCGTGCGCAGACACAGCCAGGTGTCGCGTGCCCTGTTTCGCTCGGACATAAGCTCTCGCAGGACCGGGTCGTCGGCCAGCCAGCGACAGTGCGGTGTGAAGACACGCATTCTTGTAACTGGGCAGCAGCGGTGCATCACGGCGTTCCACACAGTCATGGAGTGCCGCAGGCGCGTGCTGACGTCGGTGACGCCATCCACCTGGCTCCGATCAGATGACAGAAGATTGAGACGGATGGCGCCCCAGCCTGCGCGTTTCCAGGCGCGCAGAGCATGCCACTGTGGGTTCCTCCGGACGGCACCCATATGTGCGCTCACGAGGCAAGATGTCGACCTCATGTGCGGGGTCACGCTGGTTGGTGACGATGTAATCCAGCGCTGATGGAGCTGGGTGAAGATGAGTCGGGCCGTCGACCGGCTGCACCATGTTCAGCTCGTTGATGGTGTCGGAGTGGCGACGTATGTGGGACGAGCTCGTGTCCAACGCGTTTAAGTTCACGTCGCCGAAGAGAAAGACAAGCTCGCCTGTGCTGACGGACTCTCGGGACTGATCCTGTAGGCGCCTCAGGCTGGGCCTCACCGGGCTATCGGGTGGATAGAAGATGACGCTTACCGTAGACGTCTGAGCGGCCGTCTGCTGTTTTAGTGATCCTGGCTCGGTCCAGGCCGCTCTAGATTATATGCCTGTCCGTCTGTTTTCGTGATCCTGGCTCGGTCCAGGCCGCTCTGAATTATATGCCTGTCCGTCTGTTTTCCCGGTTTCTGTTACCCCTTGTCTTTTGCTGTTGGTGGTCCGGTTCCGGTCCCGGGGTCAGCAGTCCAGAATGCTCCAGGTTTTGTCTTACCTTGTCTCATGCCGTTGGTGGTCCGGTCCCGGTCCAAGGGGGTCAGCAGCCCGGTGTGCTCCAAATACGCCCTCACGTGGATGTACGGCACGAAGGCCAACATGTTGGGCTCTCCTCCAGCCCTCGGGATGTCCATCAGGCGGCCCAGGTTCTGACGGTCACGGCAGGTGGTTATTGCACGTCGATAAGTCGGCTAAGCAGCTTCCTTAACTACAGTGGCACCGTAGGAGCATCTCAAAAGAGACTGCACCCCAGTGAAAATTTGCAAAAAATTAAACACAATTAATCCATTGGCTATTTTACATTTTTTACCCTCACCGTGATAGGGGAGTGTCGACGGCGCCCCCCCCCCCCCCCCAAGGGTCTCTGAGGGTATTTGGGCTGCTGACTTTGCAGATCGCGCACAGTGGGCCAGCGCTGTTTTATTAACAAAGCCCTGCATCATCAGTAAATTCTTAAGCACACAAAGCTGTAACTGTTTGATTTTCCGGACATGCTGTCCTTTGGCTCGGCCGAGTTCGGTCAACAAGAGGCGTAGCTTCGAACAATGAGAAGCGCCGGGATGGGGGTAGGATGGGAGATGAACAGTGAAAATAGCTTAGCCTGCCCACAAAATACACGAATGAACGGACTTCTACGTAGAATTGGAAGCTGTGGGCGGTGGGCTAGAGTCCAAGTTGGGGTGAGGGGTTTAATGTTTCTAACTGAAAAGGAAACTGCATTCCTGAGGTCACGTACTCACCAAGTAACATGAAAGCCTTTATCAATGGCGAGATCCTCTTGAGACCAAGCCTCTGCTGTTTTTTCGCGTGGTTCTGTCGGTGTTAGTTTGGAAACGGGAAGGGAACTAGGGGAAGGGAGATGTTGACCCTCCTCCCCCTCCCCTCCCACCCATCAATCAGCGCCTGGAAAAAGGCTTATATTGGCGAGGAAGAAAGCGGGAAGAAATGTGCATTCATTCGTTACGTTTGTTTTACTCTCAATTGTGTCCATGAGTGTCATGCATCAAAACTGGATGCACGGATGAGAGGTACAGCTGGGACAAACTTACGTCGTACGAAGGTCCGAGCAGATCCCCCACCACGGAGAAATAAGCCCGCTCAGAGTCCGGCACCAGGCCTTCAGGAGCAACCATCGGGATCTGCTCCACGTAAGGCTCAGCTCCTGACACATCAGGAGCAAGTCAGGGTCTTTCTATGCCAGGAGATCCGACCGCATTATGGTTTAAAGTCTTTTAAGCGACGATCCGCAACAGGCTCGTCGCCTCTGGAGACGGTCGTTGTGCAAGTAAAGCATGTGTTACTATTGCAAATGAAAATACAACACACATTGCCGGAGTACTGTTGCTCAACATTACGCGGGGAAAGCTCGTGCTGATTTTATCGCAAACATTTCTGAAAAAGACCCCAAGCGATATACAGGACGCTTTACCCCGAACTGGAGCCCCTCGAAAAAGTAAAGTTTTTGATAGAGCAGCAGTGGTTTGAAATAACAAACGACCAATTACATAGGCAGTAAATTATATCGATAAATAAAGGAATTGTGTTTCAGCGTCCCATTAAATTTGGTTTCTGGATATTCCTGATACCAAGTCGACTCGTCGTGGTTTCCTAGCTTTCCACGGAGAAGTTATTTACGGTACAGCATAAGACAAAGCTATGGCATATTCATCAATTCTTAGGACTGAGATCCTCCTCGCGTGTTTTCGTGGCTCATTGTCCCAACCCTACCAGCCATCACCACACACCGCAACAAGCCATCAAATATCACTCAACACCATGCACCGAAGCACCTCAAACACCGTCACATCCACTCGGACAGTGCTCCAACAAAGGCTCTGTCGCACAACACGCCGCCATTTAGCTGACGCACACACGCAGAAACGCACGCAAACACGCACACACGTAAACACGCACGTACGTACGTATGCACGCACGCACGCACACCTACACATGCACATACACACGCGCACGCACGTACGCACGCACTGGGCGAGTTTGATGGACTAAACCAGGACCCGCGTACTTCTGGCTCTGTCACAAGTCATCACTCACCTTCGTCCAGGCACACGAACCGTGACGTTGTCTCCTCCTGCGGGAATCCCTCGGGTTTTACCACCAGCGGACGGATGACCGTGTCACTACCGGTCACAGCAGGAGGGTCACGGTGTTTGTACTGCCAATGACATTCCAAACGCGGGGGCGTGGAAGATTCGGAGCACGGACAATGTCAGGGAAAGATCCTTTTCTAAGCCAAGACTTTAATGAAACCCTTTCCGTGCATGCTAAGGTAGTAAGAAAAGGGAGAAGCATGTGCCTCTGCAAGCCTTTTCCCTCCACATTTTCTCTCTTTTTGCACACAGGAGTAAAACATCTGCTTTCAAAGATAGTGCGACTGGTACGGTTCCAGGGTGCCTTCGCAGCGAACCGCACGTAAGCGGAACTAGCTCGTTGCGGTCAATAATGACGTCATATCCGATAGACCTGCGGCTTTGGGCGTTCACAGTGAAGTGGACAACAATATTAGACGCGACGTCAGGTGAAATCGGTTTCCGTTACGTGATCGAAGCGAGACAGGCATGGCACCACGGGTTAATGCAAGTACACGTCAGAGTGTCAATGAAAAACGATGGGCGAAAACAGCGTTTTATCCGTCACAACATAATTTGCAGTTTCCATTGTTGTGCGTCTGCGTGGTCCGTGCAAACGAGAGTGCTTGTGCCTCACATGCGCACTTATGTTCATGAAAATTAAAAATATGTAAACAGGAGCACGTTCGGCAAAAAACGTCTACATAATATAACGAGTAAAAGAACAATCGAATGCACCCCACGAATGCACCCTCATCAACCCACCACGCGAGGACACGGTAAAGCAGCATAACGCACGAAAACGCCAGATGAATTCTGTACCCTGCCTGTATTTCATGCGAAACTTAATGAGGCAGCATAGCCCAAAAATTCGACAGTGACCCCAAAATAGTGAAATATCCCTGCCCAACACGACAAAATGGTTATAAGGTGTTCATGTGCTTTAATATGGGCAATTCTACGGGACCTTCATCACTTATATTACTAGACGAATACGGGGCTTCATCATCAGTTACTATCAAGGACTCACGACAAGGCACCCTGAGACAGTGAGCACCAATTCTGCAATTTGATTAAATCTAGCGCCCAGCATCTGGCTCGGATATGAGCCATGACCAAGACAGTTGCCCGGATAGCGAGCCACAAACGACAAGAATCAATCAATCGTGCGGGCGAGATGTGAGTGAGTCCAGACACGCGGTTCCACGTCTGTGATACCCCTCTCCCCTCTCATTCCAGCCAATCAGATGCCCAGATCACAGCGTCTTTCCACTGAAGATGGCATCCGGGTATTGAGCGGACTGCTCTGCCAACATCCGATAGCTTGTGATTCTGCTGGTCCTGACCACTGCGTGATTTATTTCGGTTGGAGTCGCCACGCCACAGACGTCGTGTAGGAAGCTAATGCATTTCATCAACGAATCACGTTACGCTGATAATAAGGCCCACCGTCAGAGCTAAAAGCTATCGAAAACCCACCTGCCGGGGCCGACGGTGTTCGGCTGGTCACAGTTGCCGTCTCGGAGTCTGGCCGTGACGGTGATGTTGACCTCGCCCAGAGAGGTGAAGGTCAGCGGGAAGTGGCTGACCTTGGAGCGGCCCGCCGGCACACAGAGGTCAATGCCCGCGGGCGAGACCTCGTCCGCGAGCGAGTAATCCTCCGACGCCGCCAGCTCCAGGTACACCTGCCGGGAACGGGGTACTGTAACGCCTGGTGCAGTGACCTGTAAGTGACAGCTGTTGTGCTGGTGGCCACTACAACATCTGCAGCTGGTAATCGGTGTGTACTGCAACGTTTGCGACTGGCACCTTGTGTGCACTGCGACGTCTGCTAATGTAGCAGGGTGACGTCTTAGAGTTGCCTAAAGCCCGCAGTTGGAGACGTCCGAGAGACGGGTTTTCCTGTATATCGGTCAGTAACTTACGGAGGTAGTAGTATTAAGACTACCTGCGATTTTATGAGAAGTGCCCGTAATTAGCACATAAACGCATGCCCAGATGGCAAGTTGAATGCCATTCACTCGGGTGAAGTGGGGGCAATTTGACCCCCTGAGATCTCAAACACTAAGAGGGAGAGGCAGAGAGAGAGAGAGAGAGAGAGAGAGAGAGAGAGAGAGAGAGAGAGAGAGAGAGAGAGAGAGAGAGAGAGAGAGAGAGAGAGAGAGAGAGAGAGAGAAGAGAGAGAGAGAGAGAGAGAGAGAGAGAGAGAGAGAGAGAGGAGAGAGAGAGAGAGGAGAGAGAGAGAGAGAGAGAGAAGAGAGGAGAGAGAGAGAGAGAGAGAGAAGAGAGAGAGAGAGAGAGAGAGAGAGAGAAGAGAGAGAAGAGAGAGAGAGAGAGAGAGAAGACAATTGACATGGGAAGTTGGTCTGCCCGTAAACCCACTTGCCTCCAAATTTAAGGCCGCTATGTCCTGATCTTGACGTCAAATAAGGTCAGACTAGGTCGAATTTCTGATTGGTTACCAAAGTAATCTCTGGATCTACCAAAGCTGTGGCCTCTAACTTAGCTACCTGTTCTTGGCAAAAGGTCACAGGTATTTTTTCATGTCAGTGACCTTTTCGCCTCTAATAAGCCAAGGCGACCAATAACCATTCTATGTTTCTTTTTTGTCATCTTAATACGCGTCAGTTTACGCTAGGTGGTATGTTCCTGAAAAATAAATGTTGCCCAGGATCATATTCGGTCAGCGACCTACTCTGGCCTTTAAGAAGTCCATGTGGCATTACTGGTGCGGTTCCTGTTCATAATAAGTTCGAATTGAGCCGCAGAAACTGTGCCAATAAGCCAGCTATTCAGTACCAAAAATAGACGTTGGCCTGACCTTCATATATGGCCTTAGCTCAATGGAGCTTATTGTTATTTTGAATATAATTGTTTTATTGCCTACAAAGTATCTCGGAGATTAATTGCTTCGTCTAGCACTCTGTTGCTGGATAAGCTTCAAGGGTTCCCTTGAAATAGCCTTCGCTGACAGTCACGACCTGAACTGCCATAGGTTAGCGATCATACATGGGGCGTCTCTGTTGTACCAAACGATCCGCTAATCAATGCCCTACCGCCACATTAAGTGTGACGTAGCTACGCCGGGCCGTTCGGAAATAATTCCAGAAAAACCTTCGATGTCAAATTGACCCCACTCAAGCACGTGTTAACCCTCATCCTGAAAAATGCTTGCTGTGATAAAGTCCGATGTTTTTGGGGATGCCTCTCCGGCATGTGGCATAGGACATCCATTGTGTAAGTTTTTACACCAAAGTTGTTTTCTCAGCTTTTCTGGTTTCGGGGCAGCGGTAGTTTTCGAGCAACGCTGCGCAGCGACACGACGAGACGGGAGTTCCCGCATTTCCCCGTCGAGGGAGTTTCCACATTTCCACTTCAAGGGAGCTTCCACATTAAGATGGGGTTTGGACCTGAAATAGCTACCTTGAAGACCTCCCGGCGCAGTTCACAGCCCTGCCCCTCTTAGGACCCAACCCCTCTAGGTTAATGATTGGTCTAAACGTGACAGCTACTACCAATCGCAAGATCTCGTTGAGGCCCATCCACTGGTGTTTTATGCTAAGCTCTATCTTCCTTTAGTTGGAAACCCCAAAGGGGTCGCACTAACCCTCTCATCAGGTGCCGTTATGAAAAACGGCCAGTCTGGGAGAAATTCAAGGCAATCACTCATCATCAGAGTAGATATGTCGCTGCCGTGATGTGCGAATGGTGGAGCCGTTCTAAAGTGTGAGGAGTATCTTGTGGCCCGCTTACCGACAGACTGGAATCGAGGAAGTTGAAGACGGTGGAAGACATGTTCAGGATCTCTCCGCGCTTCACGGAGTACGGTAGCGTGACCTCTGTGAAGAACGGCTTGAAGCCCTTGACCTCTGACTTGTTGGAGACACCGAACCCATCCTGGTGGGAACACGATGACGTCATGGCCAAATCATGGAAATATACGAACCGCTGCGCTCTCGGCCAAAAAAACAAAAAACACTATAAGAGCTTACTGGTATGCGTGTGTTTCACCTGTAAGGTGTTGCATCGTTGTGGTTTCTTTGCTATGAACGGCGTTATGATGTGAGGCATTTGCAACATATGTTTCAGCACCAGCAATAACAACAGTGTCAGCTGTTTGGAACAGCAGCGACCTACAAGTGCTACGTACCTTAATTAATCGTAGGTTTAATCCGAGCAACCAAATATTTGGGATTATCCATCAGCACTTTACATACCAAAAGCGGAAACCAGTGCGAAACCTGAAGAACAGAACTCCCCGTCTACAATACGTCGCCTGTAAGTCCCCAGCTAAGTCGGCCAAGAGATTCCCACGTGTCCCGGGTCAAACCTCCGCACCTACCTAGAACCATGAATTCCCCAACTTCTTGAGATGAAAAGCTCCCCACCATCCTGAGATCAAACTCGTTTATTTACCTGAGGATGGGAGCAGATGGCAGAGCCGACCCACGAGGTGATGGTGTCGGGGATATCTTGGGTCAGCACCTTGATGCCCTCCGGGCTGCCGGCATAAATAGGTCGCCTGTGCTACGGTCGATGAGGTCACCGGAAAGACAATCAACGACAGAGAGAGAGGGAATCCGGAGTGGCGTGCAGACACGACTTTGCAGTGCAGACAGACACGACAGACACGTCTTTGCAGTAAAGACAGACACGACAGACACGACTTTGCAGTGCAGACAGACACGACAGACACGACTTTGCAGTGCAGACGGACACGACAGACACGACTTTGCAGTGCAGACAGACACGACTTTGCAGTGCAGACGGACACGACAGACACGACTTTGCAGTGCAGACGGACACGACAGACACGACTTTGCAGTGCAGACAGACATGACTTTGCAATGCAGACAGACACGACAGACACGACTTTGCAGTGCAGACAGACACGACAGACACGACTTTGCAGTGCAGACAGATACGACAGACACGACTTTGCAGTGCAGACAGACACGACAGACGCGACTTTGCAGTGCAGACAGACACGACAGACACGACTTTGCAGTGCAGACAGACACGACAGACACGACTTTCGGGATGACGATGGAGAGCCTGTGTCGGCGTTCCAAAATTTATACAGCAGGGTGTGCAAACGCAAATATAAGTTCATGCTACCATAGTCCTGGCTCTCCGGCGGTCCCCGCACGCAATTCGTTTACGCTAATCCGTCGCCCTTTGACCCGACCCAGACATCTGACCCACTCAGCCCATTTGTCAAGCCTGAGACGCATAGATACTGGTTTGACAGCCGCCCGGTCCGATGCTGATTAGTCGATTTCGAGCAAAGGAGGGGCCATAGGCAGTAAGCCCAAATCCGGGGTGTTACAGCATGAAAAATATTGACATCCCAAGTGGCCGAGTATTGGAACACTGGCCTGTGTACTCACTGCGCCAACAGAACAGTAGAAAGGGCACCAAGAAAATAGAGGAGGTCCCACGAAGCTCGCAGCAAAATACCGAGTCAGAATCAAGAAAGGCTGCTTCAAAGCCGACATGGGGCAATCGTGAAACATGGAGTGAAGCGCAGGGAGCAAGCACATCTGACCGCCACAGCTACACTTGCTAAGGAACAGCCTGGAGCTTCTGCGGGGCCAGCCCCCCCCCCCCCCCCCGCCTTACTCTCCCCAGCTGCGCACACCGCACTTCTCTGACTCGTGCCTCACCCGATCGTCTCGATGGAGAAGAGGAAGGCCTCCAAGAAGGAGTCGCGGACCTGGTCCCCGATCGGAGCGGGTTTGCCTGAACTGGGGGGCCCTGGAGCTCCGGCTTTACCCGACTGCGCGACGCCGGCCTGCCCCCGTGGCCTTCCGAAGCGGTTGGCAAAGATCGGCCTGGCACCGGCGCCCGGTGACGCCTGAGTGGTGACGGCAAAGTTAGCAACGGAAGACGCAGGCCCCAGCTGCGTAGGTAAGCACGAGTCGCACATCACAGAATGGTAAATATTCGCACAACCGAGTTCAGACGACAGCTTCACCACCATAGCTCTCTCGGGGGCAACGTGACTCCCTCACAGCCTTTAAATAAGACTTGCACGTCCATACATGAGAATGACTTACCAATCCTCCAAAAACTCTGGTAGTTAAATCAGGTAGATAATCTATGTCCTCCTCCGGTATCTCCCGGGCCTGCACGCGTTTGTAGCAGGGCCTTGTCTCCAGTGCGAGATTGGTCATCACCAGAAAGCCCGTCTCCTGGGGGTGGTAAGAGTGCGATAGAGTACTGCCTGTCGATGAGCGACTTCGTTGCAGGAGATGAACGTCTGGCTAGCTAATAATTTACATGTCCTTGATCATGCACGGCACACGCGTTGGCATGAAATACTCACGTGCTTTGTTTTGTGGCCTGTATGAATAAGCTGCTAAATAATAGCGATAAGATGCAAACATTCTTCTAGGCGCACCCACAACAGCAGCATTTGAAGCGACCTGATACCTGTTTTCACAGCCGGCTAACGTTTCGCGACAACATTCCCCGTGACAAAAAAAAAATGTGATGCTGCCCATCACAGCCTAGGCGGCGGCAGCCAAGAGTACAGCGGCTCGCCAAACTGCGGGATATGTCCCACCTGGCTGCGTGACATGCGAGATTGACACTGCATGTGCACACTATTTAGGCACGAGGTGAGTAGGGACATCACAAAAGGTCCCACATAGCCGGAGACAGCTCGGGACAGGGAGGACATTCTACTGGCCTGACGTCACGGTTCAAACCTGCTCGGCCTGCTAAGATACTAGCCGTTTATGCCGGTTTAGACCGTTTTTAGACCGTGTTTCTACTGGAGTTGGCGCGCAAAGCTGTCTGAATAGTAGTTTAGAATTTTGCCGTTAGAATGTTGGTGTTCTGTCGAAAGCTTGATGAGTTGCTTTAGTTGTTTAATCATTAAGGTTTAATAAACACCTGCGAGACGATAAAGCAAAACAGGGAGTACCCCTTTCGGTGACCATTTTTTGGTAAAACACGCTCAGGCTGAAATCGAGGGAGGTATGGATCGTACGCCCCTTTTAGAGCTCAAAGTAATCTACAGAGCTCATAAACACACAGACAGGAAAATAAGCGAATTTATTCTTATAAAAAGTCGGCGACCAAATCTTACCATACCGGGCTCATCCTGGCCGATTATGTGCACGCGATATGTGTCTTTATGCGTGATGTGCGCTAGCTTAAAATCGTTGGCATGTGTAGGTGATGCCTGACGCGTGATGTGCGATGCCTGTTCCATTGAAAACGCTTGCATGCATGATTGATGCACGATGTGTGATATCTCTTTACTTCAGCTTGCTTGCATGTTTGAAAAAACGTCATACGTGATGCCTGTTTGCTTGAATTCGTTTGCATATACACGTATTTCTGCGTATTCTAATTCGTAGATATGCACTGTAACGTGGCAATGGCTGGCAATCGGTCTTAATTTAGTCCCTTGAATGTTGGTGTCCTGTAAAAGCTGTGGCTCTCTGTTTTAAAAAAACCTGAAAAATTGAGTAGGATCATCGGCAGGCAATTCTGAATTTACTTCTGCTATTGCTTCGATAAGGGCATGTTGCCGAAATATCAACCAATCTGCCTCTCCTGGTTTTCTCCGAGGAATAAGGCTATTATTACTGTCTCATATATCTGAATAATGTTCCTTGCGACAACACTTAGCAAGTTAAGTAATGCCCAAAGCGGTTACTTTACAAACACTGAGCTTAAAACGCAGCCGTCCTACCAGTTCCTCCCACTAGACGGCTTCTGCTTCTTGTCGTGTTTCACTCGCGAGACACCACATTACCATCCTATTTCTGCTCGCTGTGGAACTCTTGCGTCATTGCAGCTCGATGCAAGTGGGTTGAAACAAGGCGCTAGCTAGCGTCTTGAACGCTCTGTTCAGGAACCTGTGGTCGTTGCACAGAACAGGTCACCCAGCCGATCGTCATTTTGTTAGAGGATTACCATAACCTTCTAAAAGTGTTCATGGGGGTTTGTGCAGCCAAACAAGTTGAAAGGAATGCTCTAGTCACTGACCACTTGTGGATTTGGCGGGGGTTCTTAGGAGGAGAGGATGTTGGCCTCATGCAAGCAGCACCCCATCTTTTCACTGTTCTGAAACTCTGCGAAGGACTTCAAGACATCGTTTACGTTTGAGCTGGATCCCATATCTCCGTGATATTGGTCCACAGCCGTGCGGACCTCGGCCGGTGAGCCCGGGAAGCCTCCTTCACCTCCTTCGCCACTGGATCCCTTTTTTGTTGAATCGGCAAGCCTCTCCGTTGACGAGCGGACCGGGGCAGGGCTTACATTTGTGCTCTTTGAAAACCGGATATCTGACCAGAACCGGATATCTTTTAAATCGGGTATTTGACCGGGACCGGATATATTGTCATCGGACATCTGAACAGGACCGGATTTCTTTTCTTCGAATATCTGACCAGGATCGGATATATTTTCACCGAATATCTGACGAGGACGGAAATATTTTCATCGAATATCTGACCAGGACCGGATATATTTTCATCGAATATCTGACCAGGACCGGATATATTTTCATCGAATATCTGACCAGGACCGGATATCTTTCCATCGGATATCTGGCCAGGACCGGATATCTTACCGGGACCGGATCTTTTTATCAGATATCTGACCAGGTGTCTGATAGCGTCCGATAGCCTGCTCGGTCCCAGAAACCATACCCAGTATCTCAGAGTACTCTGCCATCACCAGTCATGTAGAGTTGCGCACCACCCTCGTCAGAAGTGGCATCAGCTCAGTATCTCCCCCAAAATCGAAAACATGCCCAACATCACCACGAGCATTAGAGCACCACTTTGTGCCGTCGTCAGTTGTGCGGCTCCTGTTATGTGTCGTATCGACCGCGTCACACAGTGACTTTGATACGTTTCTAACTGTAGCTGTGATTTCACTATAGCCAAAGACCAGACACGGATCATCCAAACGGACCATCCCTCCATCCATGTGCTTATTTTAACCCTTCACAATAGCATAGTGACTTTCTTTAAACCTTGATCAATGTGATGCGTAATTCAAAAAAGGAATGCTGGACCGGTAAAACGAAATGGAACTACAAAATTCAAGACTTTGCTCCCTTCACAGCTGAGCCTAGATGTGTTAGGTTTCCTTCTCCTCCACTTGTCTAGTGAAAGACAGATTCTACATCAGCTTCAAACACGACCAAGACGGTTTGAAGTCTGGTAACTGACGCTGCAGCAAACCGTGCTGAGACTAGCCAGAGCTCTTAATGGCAGAGCCATTAAGATAAACCATAACCATAATGAGTCACCATAATCATTCACAGTGATAACCGTTTGTTCGGATTCACCCATCACGTCACCATAACCGCAATGTCATGTACCATCAAACATTTTATCAATATCAGCAGCTGATCACTCACGTCGAACGACTCCAGCGCATCGAGCCGGTCGGTCCTGAAGTGGTCGTCGCCCAAGCTCACTCTAAAACGTGAGAAGGTGATGTCGTCCTGTCCCTGCTCTTCATCCCAGGCACCGCTCCTGGCGGTGGCACCCATAACAAAGTCAGTCACAGGGGTCACACAGCTCCACCGACGGTGCAGCCACGCGGAAACAGGGCATGATCTGCAGTCCAAAGGTAAAACCCCATATGTTAATTTCTGGCTATTTTGCGTTTTTAAGTCATCTGATTCTCTTCTCATGCTGAATTCTGATATTTAAACCAAAAGTTTAAATTTGCACAAGCGTTTAGCTAAAAGAACTGGCTAAAAGCTTGTGAAAATTTGGACTAATTTGGACTGAATTTGGACTAACGGTTTTGATCACCGAATTCAGCATCAGTAGACGAATCAGCTGACATAAAAAAACGCAAGCCGGCCAAAAAATTAACATATGGGTTTTGCCTTTGGACGGCAGAGATGTGCTGAGGTTTGGGGGTGATGATGTGGATTGGGGGGAAATGATGCACTTCATTGCGTTGAGGGTAACGTTAATTGGTTCGGATATGCCCCCATCTTGGCTGGTCTTGTCATACCTCCCTCACACCCGGAGATTGAAAGAAAACTAATGGGTTTTCTGGGCATGCATACTATGCCATTGGAGGCAAAACGGCTCTCTTGCTGACGCGCTTCTAAACAGCTGTCCCTCGAAACATGCTGAGAATCCTTAAACGCTTCGTGCTGTCAAGTCAGCTTAAGGGTGGCGACTGACAGACATCTTGGAGAAGACTTGTTGAGACTGGCATGCACGTGAACTGTATCAGTATCTTCATTAATATCTTGTTATTTCTCCAAATCACCGTCGGGTGCTTTGAAGAGACGATAAGGCGGGCATGGAGAGATCGGGGAGACGCGTTACGTGTACTGCGAAACTGCGCTTCCAGAGACCATGTTACGCTACGAGATCCTACAAGCGTTGGAGAGACTAAGACCACCAAGGCCGTAGGTGATGAACGAGTAACGAGCCGCCATGAAGAAGTCCACTAATGACGAAAGCGTTATCAAATTTCCAGCTGACACAGACATGGACAAAGCTGACACAGACAATGCTACGGTAGAGCAGAGGTATGTACAAGAGGAGTACACGCGCAAGCTAAAAAGCTTATTGAATGATAAACAAACAGCAAACGGAAGAAATAGTCCTGACCATGCTCCTAAAAAACAAGGACTGCAGCCAACCTGAGAAATGATGAAAACAAACATCTAACCAGCATTTCCGCAAACTGCTACACATTTACGAACTGCGATTGGTGCACATGTACACTGTTACTCCGCAAGTCATCGTCAGCTGCCGGTTCAGCTTTCCAGATGTTGATCCAATTCCTGGCCAACGTCATCAGCGAAGTGGAAAGTCACCACTCCACATGAAGAAATCATCTCTACTTGGTCTGCTCGGTAAAGGACATGCGCCAATCATTTGACACACAGATTGTCAGCTTTGACTTGGTGAGCCTGCTCACCCACGCATCAAGCTCCAACCGTTACGCGGAACAAGTTGGAAAGGACCAAAGTCTAATGGGCGGAATACGCCCCGATCAGTATCAACCTCATATCCTGTGTCACCAAACTCACGTTCAAGCACACACTCTGTGTCAACAAACTCACGTTCAAGCTAAGCCAGCAATGCTTCTACCAGGGCGAGAAAGTGACCTCGAGAGAATTCTGCCTCCGGTGAATTCTGCTCCCGAGACATGACGATGGAAAATGCACCGTTCAAACCATCAGTGTGGGTGCCATACGTTCGCGAGACATTCATCTCCTGGCAACACCAGGAAGACGCAGCGTCATTCGTCGACCACATCAGGAGCTGGGAGCCATTCATTCAGTCCACTATAGGACGCGAGTGCAAAATACTAACGTGCGAGTGCAAAATACTAATACGTTCACGTTAAGAGAACAGACAACAGCTTCAACACATCGGTATACAACCAGGTTTCCTGGTATACCTCGGTGTGCCGGGAGACTACAGCAAGATGCCCCTTGCTTAAATTTCCGGTCATACCAGCAGGACACGGTCAAAACAGGCATCGTGGATATCTTCAATGTCGCGTAAACGCCACTAGCAACGACAACACAACACGAGGGAACTGAGCCGCCTAATTGAGACACTGTGCAAGAAAGGCTATCCCAAAAAGTTACGTGGACCAGAAGCCCAAAGAGCATGTTCAGGATAGAAGAGAGCCAACATAAACATGGGCAGTAACATGCCCGTTACCTGACAAGGCGTTGTCAGAGAACACCAGAAAACTCTGCGAACGATAGAATATCTGCATGGAATTCAGAAGCAGCTCAACAATCTAAAGAACATTTACCAAAGAAGCCACACCGCGGACATGTTAGAAACATGCCAAGAGTTGCACATACCACATGCCACGTAGTTGCGGTTTGTCTTACAAATGAGAAACGATCCGCCCCCTGTCGGTCGGAGTGAAGGGTACAAAAGGACAGCCATAGGAGGTGAGAATGTGAGGTCTGGTATGGCAGAGTGTGCATGGAACCAATCTGATCACCGATCCGCACGAGATGACATAGCTATCAGCGACGGAAAACAACACTGGGAAGCCGAGAAGATCGGGAAGTCAGAACACATGACGTTGGCTAACATCCAATCAGTAAACCAAGCGTAAGCATCAGCCAAATATGGCTTTCATTTACGTGAAAAAGTCCCCAGCTGTCCAGAAAATGAATCAAGGAAAGTTCTTACTCTGCTTTTTTACACTGAAACCTTGCTCTCCCCGGTTAGTCCGGTGGGGCAATGTTGAACACGTAACTAAAGACACGGATCGAATCCCAGCATGTGTAAGGAGAAACTTAGAGTTGGAGCCCGTGACTGGGCAAAAGACCAGTACCATCTAGCCCTTCTTAGGACTCGAGCAGTACCTGACAGCTGACGGATAACTGACAGGTCGAAAAATGTGCACATATTTACACATGAGACAAGTATGATACTTCGGTCGTTTTTCTATGATTTATAGCATAACTTTGTCTAAATCATGTCATTTAACTGTATCCTGGAGTCACTACATTTCTAGGAAGTTTGTGTTAAACTGCAATATATCTGCAATTAATTGTTGGCTTTCTTGCCAGGTCTGTACAGGCGGCGTTTAATAACCAAGGTCATTAATTATCCGGATGCCAGTAGCTAATCCAAGGAACGGAAATTATTACGATTATTTGAACGTAATTGGAAGACGCCAGCACTGACCAAAAGTCGTAGCGTTTCAACCTTGCGGAGACGTGACGTTTCCGAATGTGTCACCTTAATTGCATGGTAACGTAAGGGCGGTGATCAACGCCCAAGAAGCGCCAAAGCCGCCTCTAAAGATGAAACGTGAGGTGAGAAGTTGCCATATGACTGTCTTTCTGACGTCAACCTGCTACAGCATGATCTCCCGACACAGCTCCGTGCTTAGGCTGCGCCTTCCGCACGGACGTTCCGGCGGAGTCGACATGTGGAACACCCTTCCACATCTCAAGGCAGACGTACCGTTCCAGGGTGCTAACCAGGCTTCTCTGCAGGTTCAGGCAGTAGTCCCTTGTGGTTACCTGAAGCAACCAAAGCCGATGTCGTCGGCGCGCCGCGATATCACGCAACACCAGGCAAGAAAGTCCAGTCCACTCGATCACCGCAGTTCCTGACGTCAGTTACTGATATATTCTACGGTGCAACGATAGGTCTCCACATCGTCAGAGCGCAGAGATTCAATTTGGCTCGCTCGGGTTTGCGGGAAGAGATGAGTGACACAAGCGTGCATATATTTCAAGGCGATGTTTTGCGGCCACGCTCAAAACGGGCACTTTTGCTTCATCGCAAAAACAGACATTGTCAAGGGAGGCCGAATGGTGATGAGTATCGATAGTGTTTTAATCCGTTCTCTGCTATTAGCGACATGGAACAGTCAACACTGAAGTCCATGTGCACCACTCCGACGAAAGCGACATTGCCGACCCCTTTCCCTCCCCGCTCGGCAGACAACCTGTTCGGGAGTGTGGTAGCCCTGCGAGATGAATTGCCTCAACTGGCTGAACACGCCCTCCACGGTGATTTGGTTACCGGTGCCTAGCAGCTCTGTGCTCCGGTCCACGGCGCCTGCAGACGGGAGCACACTGTCAGTCGTGCTCAGTCGACAGGAAAACATCCGTCGGCGCTCGATCGGCGGAAGCACACCATCAGTCGTGCTACATCGTGCTCCGACGCGGTACATGGCAGATGAGCACAACGGGAAAATGTTGAGTGCAGCAGATGTGGTGGAATGGTCTGGATGAGCAGCTTTGTGTGAAGGCGTCGGTATTACGTAATTTTAGAATGAAGCTGGTGTGACCTCTTGTGTAACTTTTATACCGCTCTTTCTACCCATGCACCCGCGTGTGAGAAACGAATGTTGTAGAAACACCACAACACGGCGGGTGCGGACAGGTAATCATAGCCACGATATCATGATAGAGATACTATATATATATATATATATATATATATATATATATATATATATATATATGCATATATATGATTCCGCTCACGCTAAGACATCTTTACTCGGTCGTTTTCCAACAACCGATGACAATCGAATAACGTAAGGGGTTGACAGCACCAACAAATATTTCAGAGCTTGCATGGTATAGTTTGCAGACGTTGTGCGTTGCTGAAAGCAACAAGCCACATCGCGAGAGCGTCAGTGGCTGTCTACTGAAGCTGCTTGCAAACATCTAGGGATTGCGCTATGTTTTTCAGATGCGTAGTCAGTCTTGGAGGCCAGTGCCATATGGCGAACACTCGGCGCATACTACCGCTGAAGAGATGGGATCAGAAACAACCGGCGGTGAAAAAGCTTCCAATTTACCGGGTATGATCGGGGGACAAAAAAAAAACTGACACTTTTTTAAGTGAGCTGGTGACGAAATTGCAAAAATTAAAACAGACTTCAACAGTCCAGACCATATTACAACAGACGTTCCCAGCTCGGCGAAATTCAAAGCTTTGGTATCGGTCTGCACTCGCTAACGCTTGCAGCGTGAGCATGTGAAGGGCATGTGTCAAAACGTTGATGCTTCGCTATATGAGTAAGTTGAGCCATAATATGCTGCCAAACATAGCAGCTTTAATCAGAAAAGTTATAGCAGATGACAAAAACATATTACAAACTACGTCACATCAGTGCTAACGTCAACAATCAGTGGTAACACAATGCTTTTCTAACGCTCCTCAGATCAGTGTTGTTCACGGATTTTTCGGCCAAGATTCATTTCACTTACTAAACAGCATAAAACACCAAATAACTAGGCTTACTTCTAGTTGTAAGGGTCGTGACTGGCAACAGCATCTTGCGACGAACGCTATCGCGACCGATGGGATTTGGTAGCAGCGTTTTAAAGCGTCGTGCCATTTGGAACAGATAGGCTCGGGTTCTGGGGTAACGCGTCAGGTTTGGTGCAAGGCGGTGGGCTGTTTTTGGTTGTGTTCATGTCGTGAGGAGCTGACTGACAGAAAAACATCGCTAATCGTCAGTTTTGTATGTAATAGATTAAAAAACTCCCTGCCGATTTGGGAGGATTGTTGTTTGTGGATACTTGAGCTGTAGCTTCATAGGTAAAGGGAGGAGACTTGAGCGACACATGTCAGGGATTTATTTTGGGCTTCCTGCTGCTGAAAGGAGCAGCGGCTTTGAGGTAGGGGGCTGAGCATCACTGGTGTAGGCCTCTCACATTGCCTGTTGCCCATCTGACATTGTACTGATCGGTGGACCGGCGCGAAATAAAACGTTTTGAATTGTCATCATGTTGCATACAAAGAAAAGTGCAGGTGCTGGAGGTGTTCAAGACTGTGCATGTGCAAGTGCATCTATTGATACCATTCTTGCGCGGGTTTTGTTCTAAATAAACGGGATAATGCTAGGAAATGCGAGTTCTGCACGGGCAATAATTATGCAACGATAATGAAGGTCGCCAACGTTCCGAACAGATTATACAATGACGTCGCAAACATAGGAAACTTTTGCCTTTTTGTCTTTCATTTTTGTTTTTATAGTTTATCGCATGTAGTTATATTGCCACGGTTTCTGAAAGATTTGGCTATAGATGACGATTTAGGCGGTCCCAAATTTTGTCGGTGACAGAAAAGTATTTTTTCACCCCTGTAGACAACATTGGTCATTGTGCGTCAGGCGGGGCGACCAAAACAATAGATTCATTACAGAGTGGACAGCGTAACACGCAGCTCCGCTGGGTAACAGCTGGCTGCCCACCAGTAGGACCTGCGGACATTTCTGTCTCGTGCACGCCTGACACAGCTAATACTGGCGAGAGGTCGGCGACCTACACAACCAACACGACAACACGAGGCACGCGGGAGGGGACTCACTGACGCCACACACGGAGTTTGGCGAGGCGCTGACAGTGAAGGAGGCGGACTCTCCGGGCCGGGCCGTCTCCTTATCCCAGCTGACATCCACCTGACGACGGCAGGATGTAAGTGGCCGGATAGATCACACGGTGGCTTTGAATAGAGATGCCCGGGTTCAACTCCCTCCGCGGTCCGCAGTTTAGCTGCATTTGCTCTCCACTAGAAGCGTTGAAGGCTGTTGACTAAGTAATGCACCGAAATAAATAAACAATGAACCCAAGAACAACCTCCAACAACGGCAAAAGTGATCGATGGCGTTTTATCGAAACTTTTACAGTCACATTGTTCGTGACGTGAGGTCAAATTTGGGCTATCACGTGCCTTTTCCCGGGCTGGATCCAAGGACATCTTGATGACCGAAGCACGGTCGCATGGACGTGTGGGACACCATGACGAGACGCACATGTCACCCACCATAACTGTCGTTTACAAGACTTGAGTTCATCGCATCAGTAGACATTTGGAACTACTCAAGCTTCGACCTGCAGGTGGTGGCATTAAAGTTATGCGAAGTTATAAGCCTCGTTGCTCAACCCTCTCAGAAGACCGGAGTGTTGGAGTATACCAGTCCTTTGACATAATTACTGCAGCTCATATTTCGCTCATTTTCAGTGAACCTGCGTCAACACGCTGTCGCACCTGGTTGTTGAAGCACTGCTCCACCTTGAGGACGACCGCGTCGCTCACCACCTCGCCCGAGTCCAGCACGAAGAACACCAGCAGCTTGAACTGCGGGCTCATGGCCGGCGTCACCGGCAGTGTCAGGCTCGAGCTGGACACCCGGCCTGATCGCAGGATCTCGCTGCGCGACATCACCTGCCCAACACGGGGGTGGTGAGGATGACGTCGCGTAACCACGATCCCTGACTCGTTTTAAGCAAGTTACACAGGAAGAGCGTACACTTTAAGGCACTGTCACGTGCGTGACGTATGCAACAAGACTGTGGGAAGATTATGACTGGGTACTAGGCTATTTGGCATGGGAACTGGTTCCTGCGTCAGCGAGGGCAGTCTTATAGGGGAGTCCCCTAATTTAAGACGCTTTGCGTTTGAGAGGATTTTCGCTCGGTGCATCGTAACGAATGCCCATGGCGTCAGGGTCGTACCTGGTACACCATTGGCGGCACGTCCTTCTCCAGTGACGTCAGCAGCTGGACGGTGACGTCCCCTCGGCATGGCAGCTCGTCGGGCAGCAGGTGGACGTCAATGGTGAGGTAGGAGTTGGAGGGGGAGAAAAAGGTCACGAGACTCCGGAACAGGCCTCCGCCACCATATCCTGGGGTCAGCTGGCGGACGCACCACGCGCCATTGTTACCACTCACTGTCCCGTGACGTCACGCGCACTGCGTCATGGTTAAGCTAAGTCGTGACGAATAGTTAGTGGGCGTCATCAAAGAGAAATGGAAGTTATCCTACGGGCACTGGCATCATCACACCAACGCTGGCGTCATACTTCTAGCTACGACAGCGTGCAACAAACCCGACGTCACTGAAAATAATACAAAACCTACTTTTATACCTAATCTTGTATACTTATCCAGACGTCCATGTAATGGCTCTGACGTCACCACATTGACTCGGACGGAAACATTGACTTTGACATCGCCACACTGAATCGGACGGAAACATTGACTTTGACATCACCACACTGACTCTGACACCACCACAGTGGTTTTGACGTCAACAAAATGCCATCAGCCCGCCTACGAACAGTCACACACAGACTCGAAAACCATCAGACTAACCATGGCACCGTCACACCGATAACGCGAACACCTTGACATCCCAACGCTGACTATGATCACACACTGGCGGCACCATACAGCGCCCTTGCCAATTCATTCGTACCGTGACGTCACCATGGTGGTTCGAATGTCACCGTGATGATGCTGACGGTACCACACCAGCTGGCGGCCTCCAGATCGACCCTGGGGCCACTCACTGTCATCAACACCACACACTGTGCAGGACATCCCCAGACTGCTCCTGTTGTTCGGTCACCCCCTCTCTGACGTCTCATACTTGACGTGGACATTGCAGGAGCGACCATGTCGTCACCGCGATAGGCTTGATGCTGACGATCTTAATGATCACTCTTGATCACTCTTGACTGACTTGATGATCACTCTTGATCACTCTTGATTGACTTGATGATCGCCACTCTGACGTCACCACTCTAACGCGCCGTGACAAAACCATGAACCCCCGCAGCAACGCACTGGCCCTGATGGAAGCCGCCGGTCATGACGTCATGAAGCTGCTTCCGGCCCTAACAGACTGGTTCTGACATCACACACTCGCCATGACACCATCACAAGCATGTCACTCTAGTGACGCTAACATGGCACCCCAAATTCACGTACTGACCGTGACATATCATGCCGACCGTGACGTCCCACGGTGACATGAGACAGCCACGATGGGTATGACGTCACACTTGACTGACCCTGACGTCGACGCTGTCCACGATCGGTGCTTGAGGCGGGATGAGGTAGACGACGCGGCCCTGGCTGTCGGCGGTGAAGAAGCGGCACTGTTCGGCCGTCGAGAGCCGCTCCGGATCCTCCGTTTCCCAGATCAGCGGCGTGTAGCCGAACTCGGCCTGCACGCGCTCCGAGTGCTGCTCGGCAGGGCAGGTCAGGTCCAGTCAGGTCTTCGCAAGATGGGTCAATTCAGTTCACGTCATGTTGGGCCAAGTCAAGTTAGTTCAGGTAAGGGCAGGGCGTGTCAAGCAAGAACAGCGAGTGCACAGCAGCATCGTGACACATCGCAACGCAGACCAGGACAGAGCAGGACAGGACAGTGTGTGAAAGAGGGCAAGATGGGGTTGAGCCGCGTCAGGGTCCTAAGCAGGTTAGGTCAAATCAGGCACACTAGGACACGTCAGGGTCGGGGGGGGGGGGGGGGTGTGCAGGGCAGAAAACACCAAGGAAAGTAAAGGATGAAGTGCAAGCCAGGTCCGGCCGAGGCTGAGTAAGGCAACGGAGGGAATTTCGGAGTAGGGCAGGACAAAGCCGAGTTGGTTGCGAGCAGAACACGGCATGGTGGTGTAGGTCAGGGCAAGATAATAAAACTGGCGAGCGTAGGTGAGGAGAACATGAGGTGCTGTCAGGGACATGCAGAGCAGCTGACTAAGACAGACGTAATAAGGTTAATGTAGACTGGGTCAGGTCACATCAGCTTAGGGAAGGACAGTGAAGGGTGGGTCTGGGATGTTTAAATCAGTCTAATCAGTCGGCATCTGAACTGAAGAGCTCCCACAGTCATGTATATCTAAATTGCAACTGAGAGCGCTGGGGAGAAAAGCATCATTTGACAGCATGCATCGTCTACCGCAATAAAAGACAAAACAACACCTCCGTATCCTCAACAGGCACACAGCACTTTTTCGAGCGGCCACACCTTTTTATAGGCGTCAAACAGGTTATCGTCTGGGGTCTTCGTGGGGTCCTCCCCGCTCGGTCTGAAATGGAATGTCATGTAGCGTGAAACACACGGACAATGTCCTATATATCTGCGTGAGGATGTTCGGTGTTTGGTTCCGTGGAAAAAGAGGTGAAGCGCATCATGAATGGCCATGTTGAAGCGGCCCTTGGTGCCGTGCCATGGTCAGTGCTTCCATGCCATAGTTTCGTTCTCCTGTCCATGGCCCACGGACCCGTGGTCCCACGTCATCGTTCTATGATGCGTACCATGGTCCCGTGGTCCCGTACCATGGTCCCGTGTAATGGTTACATGTTCCTGTGCCGTAGCCTCATGGTCCCGTGCCACGGCCTCGTAGTCCCATGTCATTGTTCAGTGGTTCCGTGCTTTCATCCCATGAGTCCGCGCTGTCATTCCGTGGTCTCGCTCCATAGCCCGTAGGTGTCCCCGTGGCATCATTCCGTGTTTCCGCCCCATGGTCCCGTGCCATCGTCCCACGGGACGCTGCGGTGGTTCCGGCGATCGGTGCCATTGTTCGGTCGTTCCGTGCTATGGCACCGTGTTCCATTTCAATCCCACTCATGATTCTGAAAGCAATACGTGTGCCTATCTTCCAGTCTATATAACGCTAACAACAAATGCGAACAGAGCGGAGCAATGTTCAAAAAATAACTGTCAGTGTTCGCATCAGATATGCAGCGCAATATAACCTAAAAGAGACGCAAAACACAACCGCGTGCGAATCACTAGAAAAAATAGGACCAAGCTTAACGGTTTCATCACAAATATTACACCTGTACAAACGTAGGCTTCAGATGTACAGCATCTAAAACTGACGTCTGCAAGGCGGATGCTGAGAACGTAGCGAGTATCGCACTCACATGGCAGCTCTCTCTTTGTACTTGGCCTTGAAGCAGATCTCCACGACCTTTTCGGCGAATGGTGAACCATCCCGGTCTTTGATGTGGAGCTGGAACAGCGCGAAACGTGTCGGATTCATCGTGGCAAAGCTGGATGGATGTTACATGCAGACATGTTATGCCCAGATATATACCACATGGCGTACTGAATAAAACGGTTTCGAACTGCTCTCCAAGCCATTATTCCACCAAGAGGGAATGCTATATATTCCATGCAGTGAACCATGCACGGTGTTTTTACGCACGGCATTATTGCAGATTGTTCAGACACATACAGCTATTTCATCTCGGAAGAAGCCCTGCAGATAATCATACATCCTTTGACAACTCGATTGAATGTAAATTGCTTGAGGTCATGCACATATGCATATACGACC